CCCGGGGGGAGGGAATTTTTGTAAACAGGCTTTTCATTTGAAAAAAGGTTTTCTTTGTTCGGGTTGGAAAAAAAAAAGGTTGGGAAATTTTTGGCCCCCCCGGGGGAAAGGGGGCCCATTTTGGGTTTTTTTTTCAGGGGGCCCAGTGGGGTTTGGGAGTTTAAATTCCCGGGGGGGGGGGGGGTTCAGTTTGTTGTTTTTGTTTTCCCCCCGGGGCCCCCCGCACCAACCCCCGGGTATTTTTCTTTTTTAAACCAGGGGGGGAAAAGGGGGGAAATGGAAAAACCCGGAAAATTTCCCCGGGGGGGGGGGGGGGGGGGGGGGCGAGCTCACACTTCGACAAACAAAACGAACGTGTGCTTGGTGTGCTACGTACGCTATCATTGACATGGTGTGGTAGCGATGCCAGCCATCTCTCTCTCTCTCTCTCTCTCTCTCTCTCTCTCTCTCTCTCTGTTGTCAGAGCTAGTGAGGGGACCAACGGCAGCCATGGTGACCCTGGCGCGGTTTGCTTCCCTCGTCCATTCCCACCTCTTGCGGTTACCATATGTGGCTGGTGTTGCCTGTGGTGTGTTTTCGCGTCCCGTGCTACAGTACAGTTAAGTGTTGCTGCTATGGTGGTATATACCCGGGCTTTCGATGCTGTAACAACTTCCCGGAGGTAATTGAATCCGCAAACTACTTGGTGTGTTGGGAGAAGCAGTTGTCGTCAGCGAAGGCGGCGGGGTTAAACGTTAACACTACACGACACCATGACGACAACACAGGTAGGTGCATCTTGTTGGTTGTGGCTGTCATGACGAGAATTCTTTCTTCCGTGGTATAGGGATATCCACCGGCGGTGATTTGGTGGTCTCATGTGGCTTTCAGCAAGAATGAAGGATTATCCCATTGTTTTTTTTTCAGCGGTTTCGCTTTTTCGCTTCGGCACTTGTTTCGTTTCGTCAATCTCATTGTCGTTTCAGTAATAATCTCATTGTCGTTTCATCAATCTTTGGGGGTGCCGGAACCGGTCCAGGCAAAAATAACGTGCAGTACACCCGGGCGTGAAAGTGCCCTCAGTGGAGCCTAAATGTTGATGTTGATTAATACAAGGCAACGGAGCCGACGTGTAGATCCCCATCTTTCCTATGTAGGACGTCTTACCATCACTGGGCTACACAGGGCGCCTCTTGGTGAAAATACGCCGTGTGGTTCTGAAGGGTGCCCATCGCCAAAAGCCATTTAGCAGAACCATCTATTTTGCACGTCCGCTCATCCATACATTTAAGGTCGTGTGTTGGAGACAGGAGTTACGATCTACCTTTCGCCGTGCCATCAACCATCAAACAGCACCGTTACGGAGGGGAAATAAAGGTGTTTTTTTCTTTTTTCTAAAGATTTTCCATGAAAGCGCACGCCAAATACAACTCAAGGGCCGGTTGTCGACGGAAGCGAGCGTGTGTGCGCCAAGTCTTCCAGAGCAACCTCAACACAGAGAAAGGGCTTAAAAACTGCACACACAAGTTGCAGTACATCGATGACTCTGCAAGAGGTTCCCAACCTTCCAGTACCCGCAAAAAACTACTTGAAAAAATTGTTAAATTCCCAGCACAGGACTACTACAGAACAGAACAAGAAAGAACACAGATTTAGGCAACGACTTTTAGCAGCAGCCTGGAATGATTGGTGGGCTCACGCTTCAACTCTTGTACCACCTGCTGCATCCTTCCTTCCAGAAAGGGGGCCGTAGTACACCTCGACAACTAATTAATCCAATCGAATAATCTATTTGTCGCGCGTGTACACAATCTACCCTAACGTTGTAGCGTTCGTCTTTCCAAGCCTTTGGAGCCTGAACGTTCTGCGCTGTCTGTCTGCACGAAGGCACTGGTACTGCTGTACCCGCCATCCCGCAGAGTAGCAAGTCTATGCATAGTCTCCTTAACGCCGTCCGACGTTCGCCTGGCTGCACGCAACGAAGCAAGTCAGCCCCCTCTAACCTTTATCGGGGGCCGCCATTTATGAGGTTGGGCTTCCGGGCGTATGTCGTCACGGATCATCTGATGCGCCTTTAAGGGTGTCCCAAGCCCATGCTCTTCCAGCCCTCCGAGTGCTTGAGCTCGAGGCTGAGGTCGTGGGAGTGCGGTCGGCCTTGAAGGGACGCCAACGCCTCCATGACCGGCTTCTTGTTGTGGAGAACCTGCGCCGACATGCGAGTAGAGACAGGCCAAAGACAGCCACGGCGGGGCAGTGCCGCAAAAAAATCGGCCGGGTTTTGAATCGTAGATGGTGCAATCGTGCGATGGATGGGATGGGTGCCCCTTTGAACCGCTGGCGATTTCTGTTTTGCAACACCGTCCGTTATCACAAGATAGGTCTCTTTTTTCTGGTGTTGCTTGGACCCCCCGCCCGGTGTCGACTCCTTTGAAAAAATCAACAACCGTTTCTCGGGTTTCAGAACAGAAACTACAACTCATGTGTATGCATACGCTTCTACGAAACTGGCAGTGCTATTCAGGTATCCCTAACCCTAAAACAACAACAACAACAACAGCACTCGCCTCGAAGACTTCTTGGCAGATGGGCATCTCCACCCCCATCTTATCGCTGAGTGCAACCACAGAACTCGCAGTCTTGACCCCCTCCGCTACCATCCGCATGCTGGTCGTGATGGTATCAAGGTCCTGCCGAACAAGAGAGAATATTGTAGTTGCTTGGGATACACATACACATGGGAGAGGGGCTTGAGACCACAACGCGGAACAGAACACACGGGCACGGACGATGCTGAGACCCCCGACAAATGATGTTACGTTACAAGCCTCGCGATATTGACATGGCCTGGGGCACACCGGCTAGCCACGCTTTCTCTGCACACGAACTTCTGTGCAAGTGCAGACTACAGCAGTATTAGTTGTTCACTTTACTCTCCTCAAGGAGCGTCCAACACGATCGCGCAGGTACCGGTTCCACCAGTGTGGCAACCCGTGCTTAACATGAAGATAATCTCAGCCGAAAACGTCGGCCATTGATATACAGCCCCCATTTTGGCTTTTGCTTAGATCGAAGCAGCGCAGAGATACTACGCCTACTCCTGTACCTCTCGTGGAGGTACAGGGTCGAAAGGACCGACCACTCAGAGATGAGATCACACACGATTGAACATCACGCATCACCATTTGCAAAGTTCCACGCACCTCCCCCCTCGCCAGCCTGTTTCCCACGGTCCAGTTACGCGAGAGAGAGCCGGTGCAAGTGAGCACCAGGTCCCCCACGCCACACAGGGACCCCATGCTCAGCGGCGAAGCCCCCTTCCTGAAGAAACAAAAAAATATATACAGCAATATCCACGATTCACATTCAGGTCACCATGTTCATGGTTGTACATTTTCTGTCTCTGCACCCAATCATGTTCTGCTAAGATCTAGCCGTTGAAGATCATGCTCTGGTGGATTCACCAACCTAGACAAAGTTGTCGATACGGGTGCGTGCAACCTCGCCTGCATCCTCCAACGGCAGTGCCAACTCTGACCAACGCCGTGCTCCATCCAGCCAAACAGGAGTCTACGGCTTATCTACCTCGCAGCCCCTTTGAAAGAAAAACACACGTCAACTCAACACTCACAGGGTTCACCCCTCGAACAAACACAAACACAAAACACAAAACACAAAACACAAGATGACCTTTAACAAGAGCCTTAATAATAATAATAACTCTCACTTCACCGCCATGCGCGAGATCTCCGCTAGGCCCCTCGTGATCAGCGCCGCCCTCGCATTCAGCCCGAACTCGAACCCATCGCTCGCCCCGCACGCGATCGCGAGAACGTTCTTCACGGCCCCGAAGAGCTCGAGCCCCATCACGTCATCCGAGGTGTAGGCGCGGAAGTTGAGGTCGCTCACCATCTCCTGGACCTTGCTCGCGCAGGCCATGTCCTTGGCGGCCACGGTGACAGAGGTGGGCTTCCCGAGCGCTACCTCTCTCGCGAAGGAGGGTCCGGATAGACAGGCCAGGTGCTTGTGGTACTGATGATGGTGGTGGGGTTCAAAGGCAGGAGGCCGCGGGTTGTGGTGAAGGGTTCGGGTTAGCGTTTGCCGGGAGATAATTGGGTCGTCGAGGGTGAGGACTATCGTAGCTATCACAGGGACAACGGCCACAGGTTGGAGTTCTAAAGGGAAACGTGTTTCTAGCTGCGGTACAGTCAGCTAGGGGTTAGGAGTTAGGGGCATAAGCTTGGAGTTGCGAAATGCAGGCCAGGCGCCGTTTGGTCCTGCTAGGGTGTTTGGTGCTCAAGACTTGAGGAGTCTGCACAACCCCAGCTTCAAGTATGCTTTTTATCACGCGTTGTCCTGCAAGGCTTAGATTGTGCGAAGGAGGCCAAGCAAGGGACAAGTAAAACGCAAACAGCATAGGGATACAAGAAAAAGTGGAGAAAAGCAGATATTTTGGGAGTTCCGTGTACGATCAGCGCCCCAATTTATGTACCACCGCGGGGGTTGGTATCAAAGCTAAACAAGGTCTCGATGAGGATGTTTGGTCGCCCTACAGCATACCTTTCCCGGCAGTTCCTCCTCCAGAATCTCGAAAGGCGTGAGCAGCGAGCCGTTCTCAATGCCCTTGCAGCAGACCACGATTGGCACCCCCGTTGGTATCTTGTCTCTATGCTTCACGATGAAATCTGCACATAGATCCGATCGGCAGCAGCATCAAGAGCAGCGTGTCGCGGACGGCGGAGGCGGCAGCCAGCCGCTACAGCAGCAAAGCACAGGCGGAAAACATCCGGGTCGAAGCAGCGGAACAGTACCCCAAGAATTCGGTCATGTCAACAGCGGTGCGTCAGCCCTGGGAATGTAGGCCTAAGTGAAGTTCCTCAACCTCTGATACAGCCACAACGTTTGGTGTGGTGGTACATGTAGTTCCGTGAAACAAGTAGCCCCCTCTCCACTGCAACACAAGGTTCTCAGTCAGCAGAGAGCCCCCCTCTCTGCGTACTCTCCGCATGCGGCTCGCTCTCCCTCTCTCCCTCATTCTCTCGCCACTTCCTCTGTTGCTTCATCTTCCTCGCTACTGTTCTCTACTAAATAGTCTACCACGTGCCTGGCTCTTACTCACATACTGGTAGTGCCGGCTAGGGTGAAAGAGACACCACTCAAGAGAAAGCACGGAAATACTTTTCATAGTATCATACAAGTATGAGAGTAAAAGTTGCCATCCCGACCACAAGAAACAAATAAGTTTGATGTCGTTCGGTATAAGAGAAAACCGGGTTCAATTGCAGTGTTCTTGGCGTATCCCGACCCTCTCTTAGCCGAGCCGCTACAGCAGCAGTATCGCCTGTTGAAGGATACACACCTCTGATGAAGGGCGTAGGCACAACGACGAAGACGATGCTGGCGCCTTCCGCGGCCTCCGACACCTCCGTAGTGGCCACGACAAGCTCGCTCAGCTTGATGCCCGGCAAGTACGGGGTGTTCTCGTGGGTGCTGCTCAACAGATCATGAGGCCAACAAAGCATCATGACATCATGACATAACTAATATGACACCCCATTCAATCAGACACGTACAGCAAGTGTGCGCTGCTCAACAGACCCCATTATGTGAGGTCAACAGATCACCATCGCATCTACATTTCGACGGATAAACAGCAGCAGTGTGCGCTGCTTCAACAGATCGTGAGGTCAACAGATCGCCATCGCAACCAATCTTCACCAGATCAAAGGATAGATCAGTTTACGCTGCTCCACAGATCACCGCATATGAATTCCACGAGACACACAGCAGTTCGCGCAAATGACCAAATGATGAGGCCAGCAGAAAACCTTTGTCTTGTGGGACACCGCCTCTCCACATATATAGTATGCCACGCGGTCAAACATTTCGACATTCCCACAGAAACGCAGTACACGTGAACACCACACAGCGCGTACGATGACCTCAAGAGAGAATCAACAATTTCAACAGCAGTAGACTAGTACTGTAGTTATCGCCCAAAGAAGGCATATTTCTTCGTACTCTATAGACAATAGAGGCTCCGTTCTGCTCACTGCTGTAGATCTACTACTGCTGTAGGAACGTGTGTAGGCTTACGTGGGTGCCGTGCTCCGCGCGGGATCGATGCATCCAGTGCGTATCTTGCGGGGTGACCCGCAGTGCTATCGGGGTGTTCAAAAATCATCCGCCCAACGGTGCAATTTCCGCACTGGCTGAAAGACCTCTGACTGCTGCATATTTAACAGGCATGCACAGCCCCAATGCTTGTGAGTGCTCGCCGCATATCGTGAAGGTAAGTATACTACAGCACCTATGATGCGCAGGCTCTCGGTATGGTATAGACTTTGCTCCAGGAGGTAGAACATATGTATATGTAGGAGGAGCGGTTGTTTTTCATGCACATGTTTCACTTTGCCACGGGGTTGTAGGGTTAAAACACCCAACCGCCATCATGGTCATGCTGCACGCATAGAACACGTCCAGATCGTGGAGCGTATGCACCCTTTGCATCAAGTAACGACCGCTACTCCGCTGAAGGGCTGCTGCTGTTGTAGGAAGCTTTGTGGTACAGGGAGTGAGAGCAAATCCGACAGCAAGTACAATGTACTTCAAACCTGGTGATGAGGTCTGTGACATCTTGAGATCGTGTCCACGCTGTTGTCGGCACCCCCTTTCTTGCCATTAACTGTGCCAGGGCTGTCCCGAACGCTCCCGATCCCAGCACACATGCCTTTTGTGCCTCATCGCGTGGAGTCTCCATTGCAAGTGACCAGCCAGGCAGCAGAGTGGCACCGAGTAGACAACGGCAAGCAGCAACCAGCAACCAGCATCGGGGGCGCCGTGAATCATCTGAGAAGGAAGGAGTTCCAAAATGTAAGTTTGTTTCTTCCCTAAGCGTCCTATTTAGCGTAAACACACACCCTGCAGTAAATTCGTTCGGCAGTTAATATACGCGTCCAGCGTGGAACGCGATGTGCAGTAGCTAGTAGTGGGTGATCGAGCCTTTTGGTCTTTCTGACCGGCCACCATTCAAGTTTAGTGCATGGCGTCGATGACAATATCACAAGTTCTCTCCCGCCTGTATCTATTTCTGAAGGATTTGTAACCCGCCGCCCCCCCCCCCGCATGACCGCGACGCTACGACGCCGAGGTTCCGCTGTTGACATGTTCAGCTGTTCGGTGTCTCTACATTTGGAGGTTTGGTGGCACTGCTGTTCTACTTGCGATACTGTTGCGATAAGACGAGCAATCACAGCTGCGTCCCGTGGCTTTCATGATTTTTATGGCGGGAAGACGATTGCTCGTCCTGTGGCTTTCATGTTTTATGGCTGGAAGAGAAAACCGGGCGTATTAACTTTTTGTGCACCAGGCAGGCAGCACGACTTTAGCTACTTGTGATTGATCAACTCTTGCAAAAAAGAGATACGGGGGACATCGTGATGATGATATTGTACGATGATGATGCGATCGTACACGAAAGAAACGCTACCGTGAGACTCCACAAGGAAAACAATCAACACAGTTCAACAGGGTTGTAACACGTGAGTGACAATACGACACAATACAAGCCCTTTCGTTGCCAGACAACTCCCCCCAGGGCTAACAAATCAGTCCATAAAGACCAACAGCAGTACCACTCCTTTACAAACAAACTGCAAGACACGTCTTGCAACGAATACAGAACGTCACCGTTTCGTGTTATATCAAGCTGATATACACTTGAATACCACACATTCCCTCCGTCCCATGACAAACGCAATAAACTAAACTTCACTTTTCTTTGAACAAGCACACACGAAAACACTTCCCCCCCCCACCGTCGTCGAAGAACACTCTCGAATCGTAGTCATGCTTACCGGTCTACACTGGTACTAGTTCCTGCTTTCGGGGGGGGGGCGCCAAATGTGGTCTGGTCCAGAACGCACGCACAACGTTATCGGCCGTAGGCGCAAGCAAGAACCCCCTCAATCACCCACAAAATATCCATGCATGCTGTACTCGGGGACGCTAGAAGACACGGAGAAAACACCGCCTACCGTATTCTCCGGGGCCGTTAGGGTCTAACCCCCGCCCCCCCCTCCCCCTCACTCCCCTCCCCATCGCTGGTTGAAACTCGCTCGACAGGATAAGGTTCTTCCTCCTCCTCCTCCTCCTCCTCCTCCTCCTCCGAAGAAGAAGAAGAAGAAGAAGAAGAAGAAGAAGAAGAAGTGTCTGGTTCGGACTCGGAACTATCTCCTCCCCGCTCCCAGGCGGAGGGCGTCGGCAACGGCGGCGGCGCGTTGAACACCGACGGCCGCCTGCGGAGGATGCTGCTGCTCCGGCTGTTTGCGGACGCCTGGCTGGACGTGACGCTGCTAGCGTCCTCGCTGTCTGCGGGTGAGGCGACTGCTGCGGCAGCGCCGTGGAGGTTGGCGTTAACCTTTACCGACACCAGCGGGTGTAGTTGTTCCTCCTGTCATCCAAGACAAGAGCGGACAGCGAGTGCAGCGGCAGGGTTCTAAGAGAGGATGACAAAAAACGACTGAGAGCTATGGTTATTTCCAACGGGTAGTATTTTTCTTGTACGAATATTCCTTAAAAAAGACATCAAGAGGCGCGAGTTGTTGTTGTTGTTGTTGTCTTCACATTTAACTCGTGTCAGTTGCTAATCCCAAAATCTAGCAAAGACGCGGTCCGTGGTCACAAAAATGCTAGAGCCATCAGAAGATCCAAAGAACACGCAAACTAGCAAGAAAAGGGTACACAAGCCCGAAGAGGTACACCTACATCCCTGCAGCACGTTTGCGTGCCCAAAAACTGAACTACCCGTCCACACACTACATTCGACTACAGCAGCATCACCCCCCCTGTCCTACACTTTACCAAAATGAATGTCGACTGTCGACTACAGCTGTCTGGAGTGCTGTCTGTACAATTAACACCATGGTAGGCATGGCACAAGTTCGGGGCGCGCAACTGCTGTCTGAAGTGCTGTCAGAATGCGTCCGTGGGCATAAATTTACAGTGAAAAAGAACAACCAACCAAAGCCATCATTGCAATTGACAATCACCGAATCTACCCCTGATCATCTGTGTTGGACACAGCAGTGTAAATAATCGACACTGACTAGAAATCATTCCACATTGAAGGGGTCTTCCACGATGCAGGTACACAAAAAAGTCACCCGGGCTATCCGCGCCATCTCTGCCGCGTCTCTCTACAAAGCCCGTGACGTCGTCACATACACACCAATGTTCAGGAAAAAAAACGGAATATATTTGACAACACAAAATGTTCGTCCGTGCGTCACGGTTCGACGTCGTCCGTGTGCTCCGGCGCCGTTGCTCGATGCCGCTGCTCCGGTGCCGCTGCTCCGGTGCCGCTGCTCCGGTGCCGCTGCGGCCAGTCCTAGCACGACCAAAATCGACCCGCTCCGTCCGTACACGCTCTCGTTGCTGTCCTTCCCAGTCGGTTCCTCGCTTTCTCCCTCGTTGCACTTAAGGTTCTTGGTCTGAAAATTCTCGCGCCGAAGGGTCAACTAGCCCACTCAGCTCGTCACCACCTGTCCCCTCCTCCCCATTGATGGCGAAGCCAGGTTACTGAGACAGTACAGCTCCCTCTAGCAAACCTAGGGCCGTGTACATAGTGCCCGTCCACCTTTCTGATGGCGTCTGCCTCCGCGCACAAAACTGAGATGGACATTGCTGTCTACACCGACGGCCATGAGGCCCGCGCATCTGCACTTTGTACCTGACGCGCACCAGTGCCGACCCCAACTCTACCACTACGCACGCCTCGCGGCGGGTGCGCCGCAGCAAGAAGGTATCGGTCCTTTGAGGGTGAGTCTAACCCATGCTCGCTAGAACGACCCCCCCCCCTCGCTATGGGCCATGCCTAAGCAAAAGCCTTGCCGAGGCAGCGAGGGGAAGAACGAAGACTAGTAGAGCAAGATTAGATATCCGGTACAGTCTTATCTATTGCCTATGTATCATGGTACTTTACAATGGAAGAAGAGAGGGAATGGCTCAGAGAGAGAGGTAGTGAGTGCCCTTGAGTAAGCCGCACACTTTATTGTGTAGAAAGTGGAATAAAATACTTGTGCAAAAAAAATGGGGGGGGGGGGGGGGGCTGGCTTGTACATGTGAAGAATCAAACGGTGCTGGGTTAAGTGGCCGTTAAGTGCAACGAAGGACGACTCCCGATAAGTCAAGCACTGTGCATTACGCTATCGAAAACCCAAACAACCCCCTAACAACAGACAGAACAACCCTAGCCCACCATCATCATCAACCAACAGCTACAACAATGACAACAAAACCAAACTACAAGGCAAATCATTATCATCATCATTATTACGAACAACAACAGACAACACTCGAGGGCGAGAGGGGCATCATTTCCTCTGTTCAGCATGCCAGCAGCACATGTAGCATTCCAGCCGTTTGTTCGTCTAGGCTCACCGTGTTGGGAGGAGATGGCTGGGATGAGGCCAGCAGCAGTCCCGCAGAGGCGTCTAGGTGGCCCTCTGGGTAGTCGGGAAGGTCCGCTGATATCGTAATGAACCTGAGCAAGTAGTATATACCACAGTACACGAGTCAACACGAAGACAAAAAAAGAAGCGTGCACGAGTGCAGTTTCACCACGCAGAGTTCGTCATCCCAAGCATTTGGATTCCCTGGTGAATACTGCTGTACAGCAGTAGTGGTCGCTGCATAAGGAGGAAAAAGTGAGGCTGGTAGAATCGCCCTGTGCAAGGCCGGTGGAATCGCGTGACGCAGACGGACAACAATATTCAAGTGGTCTCATACCCTGAACATAGTGCAGGGTGCCCAGTACCAGTACAGCCGAATCCCTTGGCACTACTTTGCGGCCTAATACAGGTACCCGTACTGCTGTATCATACTGTATCATATCATAGTAATCAACTCCTTGGCGGCACTACTGTTCCAAGAGGAGTTAGTGTACACAGAGTTGACGGATGATAACCTCTTAACAGAGTTGACTGTAGGAAAACAGCAAGGCATCGTCGTGCTGACGCTGTCTGCCAAAGCACAAGCAGTGATGATGCGGACGACACCGGGATGGGAAGCCGTTGCGCGGGGTGCGCCTGCTGTTGGTTGCCGAGGGTGTACATGACAAGCAGCATCGTCTCTTTCAGCACCGCCCCTTCACTTGCTATGACTTGTACTTCTTTTGTCGATTAGCGACACACCACCGGCTGATGCACTGCTGTTGCTACATCTCCGCACGCAGCATCCGTGGTGCCGCTACATAAGCTTAGAGTGGCACCAATAACCGGGAGCATGCAAACGCTAACAACCGAGCACGGAACACGGAACACGGAACACGGAACACGGAACACGGAACACGGAACACGGCACAATCTCGCCGAATGTTTGACAACAAGAGAAGCATCGGTAACAACACCCCTTGACGTTATGTGGCTGTTGCAGCAGCGCGTACGACAAACGCCTAATAGAGAAAAACACTCGGAAGGTCAGGGAAGCACACGTTTTCTGTCTTCTCTTCTTTTAAGGGCGTTCATGGGGCACGAGATAACTCCCCGTGTACGATTAAAACCATCGAAAAACATCGTACAGCGTCGCTCATGATCGCTCTAAATAGGGTTAGGGTTACATGGTGTCCGACCGTACTGTCTCGTACGTATGCATACGTCCTCTAGTTTGATTGCCGAAAAAGACAACGCCAATGCCTCACCTTCCACTCCTGGCGTGCGAAGGCTGCTGCTGCCTGTTTGAGGGTTCCGCAGGGATGTCCGAACCATTCCCTTCGGCGATCAGCCCGGACTATTGATATTTATAGGCCATCGAGGCACCAAACCGGTACAGCAATAGACAGTGTATTTTGCAGCAAAAAAACGCATCGGTTGCAGAATTTAGGGTGCGGGGTCGGGAGGGAAAATGGCCTCGAAAGACCCCCCAAAAAAGTAACCAACAAACAACATGGCCGTTACACGTATGCACTGCCCGCACTGATTGTTACAGTTGAACCCTGCATGCACGTTCTTGCCGCTCATCGTCCGAAGGGATGCCGAAAAAAAGTCTTGTAACACGCAACACTTTCTTCACGAAAAACTGGCCATTTTTTCGTTTTTGGCGCGGTCGGTTACCGTGAAAACGAACAAAAGTCTCGCATGTGGTACGTCAGCTGTTGAAGAGCACCCAGTCCAAGAAAAAAAAAAACACAACCAGTCCTTGTCTTCATAAATTTAAGTCGCCCTTCCAGCAGAGTCGGCTATGTCTTTTGCCGTGCTTGGAATCGTGTTCACAGCACTCATTACGTCAATACAGCGAAAGAGCCTATTATTCATTGTATGCCATCCTGGGAAGTGCCACATGGAGTGCTTGCATGCATCGGTACCACTCAGTTTCTGACGCACCTTACGCCGCACGAGCACCGGATGCTCAACAAACGGTGCGAACTGGATAATCTCCTTCATGGTGCTGGTGATGGTCATCAGAGGCCGGGGCGAGGCTTCGGATGTGGTCATGTCTACGTCGGAGATGTGGTAGATGTCGTGCTTGTCCACCGTCGTCACTCTCACCGCCAGACCCTGGAACACCACAAATTCCACAAGAGAAAATGGGAATACATCGTGCCGGAAGACAGGAAAGGAAGAGAGACAGAAATCCATACAGCAGTAACTCGAGAACCTCAGATCAGATGTCTTGGGCGCGAAGTTAGGAGAAGTCTGGTCTTTGTACAGCAGCCAAACTTTAATTACCGCCCCGCACATCCTTTGCCAGTCTGCTACAGCCGTAGCCAACATGGTACCACACAGCAGTACTCCCGAGGGCACGGCGCCTACCCAGGAAGCAGGAAGGCACAGTACAACCACCCCTGGCTACGTGTCTGGTTCTGATTTACTGTTCTCTCTCTTCTGATGTACATACCTTGGTGCGAATCCTGATTGGCTCGGTGGGTGCCGTGGCCATCTTCACTAGCACACCTTCCCCGCCGAACAAATCCTGCAGTATTGTACAATAAATATTCAAGCAATATTCAAGCATGATTGAATCAAAGTACAGGGTATTTCATAAGACAGACGAACGACAACCCCGGTGCGTATCTGGTGTAGCAGAGCGAGCAGCAGCAGCAGCGGACGGTACAGGTCACAGCAGTGCTAAGGAACTATTCGAAGAAGCTCATATTTGCACCTGTCAACCGTTCTCTTACCAAACACACCGCGTTTCTCGCTACAAACAAGAACAGCAGCAGCAGCAGCAGCAGCAGCAGCAGCAGCAGCAGCACCAACAGCAGCAGCAGCAGCAGCAGCAGCAGCAGCAACAGCAACAGCAGCAACAGCAGCAGCAAGAGGAGTGCGGTCCGTCTTCGCAACAGCACCCCGGATCTTGTTTCTTAGCAAGGGTCTCGAGCGTTATCGCATCATTTTCGAGCAGTTTACCCTCAAGCACGTGGCACAAGCCTTAACCTGACCCTCATCGGGCCTCCAAAAGAGCCCATCAGCACATCAGGGCCCAGCCAACGGCCGGAAGTGCACGTCATCACCCACAGCTAGCCAACGCCAGAGTAATAGCCGACACGCGCAATCCGGTCTTTTCCATCATGGGTCGTAGGTGTATGTTGCGGTCAGGGTGCGTGTAACTGCTAGATTATTGTCGTGGTTGTTGCTGCTGTAACCGTCACTGCCTTTGTGTTTGCCATCGTCGTTGTTAGCGTTGGTACGTTGACTGGCTAGAGGGCTCACGGAGTGTACACAAAGACGAACTGCTACCCCCACCCGCAAGATTGTTTCGCCCTTCTCGAACTTTGTTCTATATACCCCGAGTAGGAAGAATAATAAGTATTGGAGGAACCCATTGTGGATGATGATGATGAATGTCATCGTGCCCTCGGTGGAGGAAATTCATCCTCTGTGTGCCCCCTCTCATCAAACGGTGGCATGATATCTTCTGTGTGCCCCCTCTCATCAAAAACGTGGCTTGAAATCTTCTGTGTGCCCCCCCCTGATCAACGTATTTGGGACAGCAGCGCATCCTTGTATGTCTGCCGGGATAACCTCCCCCCCCCCCCTTGTTTTTCATTATAGAACCCACCACACACTACACCATACCTGCACCACGAAAAACGAGTCCCCACCAGATGCCGTCCTAGAAGCTGCATGAAGAACCCTCCAAGCGCACTGGTCCACGTACGTCTCCAGCGCCGACTTGGCGGCGACGGCACCGTCACCATCCTTTGCGGTCCCCCCTACACCCCCTTGTACGGGGCCCCCGCCACGGCCACCCTCGCCAGGCACTCTCACCCCACTCGGGCTAGCGGCGGGGCAACGAGTGCATCCATCGGGTCCCCTGGACGTGTGATCCACCGCTTGGTCTACAGGGACGCTTCTTGAAGCCCTCACGTCCTCTTTATCCTTGACTCTCTTGGGTCTTACAGACTCGGGAGCAGCACCAGTACCAGTACCAGTACCAGTACCAGCATCAGCAGCGGAGGCGGCGGCGGTATCGGTGACGATTCGCGCGCCCCCCGTGTCTGGCTGAACGGCAGCGGCATCGGGCGGCCTGGCCACTCTGCCGGGCGTCGCTTGTTGCTGCTGCTGCTGCTGCTGCTGCTGCTGCTGTTTCTGGTCTTGAACAGCGGCTTGCAGAAGCAAGCTTTGGATTTGAGACCAGCACTCGGACGGGTCGGTGGGTACCTTGTTCACGTCGAATCGCTCCCGGCTCACATCCTTCAACGTCTGGCGAGACGGCGGTGGGATTTCACGGAAAGAGTGTTAGTGTTACATGTACAGTATCGCATGTGCATAGATGATCCGGTGGTCTCTGTACAAGGCCGCGTAGTAGCCAAGGGATTCGGCCGGCCGGCCTTACACCGGACATCCTGCAGGCACTACTTCAGAGCATGAGACAACTTGAATAGAGTACTTTACAGCTATGCCACGCGATTCCACGGGCCTTTACAGGAACCACTAATGCTGCTGCTGTGTTACAAAACACAGCAGTGCAGGCGGAAGCACCTGCGAAACGTCGAAAGGGTGATCGTCCCCGCCGGAAGGGTCGTACGAAGGCAGAGGCATGTCCGTCAAGCTAGACGACAACGACTTGAGCACCTCCAGGAAGTGCTCGGCGGACCGGTATACCTGGAAAGGAGACAAGAGAAGATAGGAGAGAAGAAGAAGAGCACATGGGGGGGTGGGGGGCACAACAACGCGAGGCGTTCTTGGTGGTTTGTGGGGCGCCGTGCTTGTGATACACAAGAAAAAAAATACTTGATTTCCCCCACTATGCAATAGAACGTTCGTCTCCTGTGCTTGCTAGGGTGGCGAGAATCGTGTCTGCGGGCACCCGCAGAAAGTGCTCCGAAGACCAATATACCCGGACACAAGAGCGCGCGGCATAAGGGGGAGCAACACCTCACCCGGCAGTCAGATCTAAAAAAGGCTGCAAAATTACAGGACCCCAAAGAGGCGGTAGCGCACATCCATCCTGGGAGTAAGACTACACGGGCAAGACATACTGTACCGGGAAGATAAATAATCGCCGGCGGGGTCAGGTATGATCATGGAAACGCTTGTATTACCGCTGGGACGATACCCTGGCTGGTGATCCTGCTAAACAGTCTACGCAGCTTGCTCCGACAAGCGCACCGTGGCCACGGGCAGCAGGCGAAACAAAAACACGTCGAAAAAGAAACGCGCACGCCCCCTGCCGCAGTCACGCACACGCACAGGTCCACACATGTGGTGTGCGCTTTGCAACTCCCGGGTCGTTCCCACAGACGACAAAGACACAATTACACACCGCGGTTGACGTCCACAAGAGCACGCCTATGAGCCAACAAGTAAGGCTGTCGAAGCAACAAACTCTGCCTACCACACACCTGGTTCTTTAGGCTGCTTCGAAGCCCTTCGTCGATGCTTCGCAAGAGGCCCTCAGTCGCGCTGCCCTGGTACAAGATGTCCCTGTTGGCACGCAGCCAGGAGGCGAACTCCATGACCAAGGGCTGCAAGAAGCGCTCCGCGTTCTGGGCCGGGCTCATCCAGAGCTTCGCTCGGGCCTCATAGTCCGTCACGATCTGCCGGCAGACTTCTCGGACCTTTGTTGGCGTAGTGCGTCGAGTTGCAGCAAAGGGGGGATGGGGGTCAAGCGGTATCACGGCACACTTGCCTGGTCTGTCGGTGCATGAGTACAGCGGAAAAAACGTCCCAATCTAATTAGATGATGACGAAAACAACGCGAGGGCAACAACCTCCTTCTGAGGAATGCGCTGTTTTCTCAGGCGCTTGTGAAGTGCGGCCAACACGTCGTTATTGACGACGCGTGACAAGCCGTCATTCAATTTCTCAAGCCTTCGCGCTATGACAGAGCGGACTGTCAAGAACATTCCGGGCGGGGAAGCGCCGATACAGTCGGGGTCCAAAGGAAATAGTAACCAGTTGAGTAAACCCGGCTTGCTCATGGTTACGTACGACCATTCAGAAAAATGAGGTAAGAATACAGCTCAATTAAAAATACATGGTCCCCAGGGACAGCTCAGCTTCAAAAGACAGAAGGATAAGGTGGTTCTAGCCCCCCCCCCCCACCTCCCTCATATTGACATATATATCTGCGAGTCCCCCTAGACAATTGTCACCTCCGGGGCCAGCAAGCGGACGTGGAGCAGCTCACAGGCCATGCAGAACAGCAGCGGCGGCAACAGAGTCCTGGCCGGGCGCTGAAGCGGCAGTATTTCCGCCGCGTTTGCGGCGTAACCCCTCACCACGGACTCCACCCGCATAGCGTCCAACTGTTTCACGCCGTCGTCGTACGAAAGTACCAACCCGTGGGGACGGACGGGGAACCATATTACTTCAAGTAGTTTGTTCAGTCAACAATCCTAAGCGGGCTTGCGGGTCTGGCTCGCGACCTCAGTCAACAATCCTAAGCGGGCTTGCGGGTCTGGCTCGCGACCTCGAGAATACTGCCAAGATCTAAGTTCCGATACTGCTGTTGTACATCATTGGCGCAAATGCGTACGGACCCCCGGCTTCTCGCCACCGTTTCGCTGGAGATACATGTTCAAGAGTATGGGGCGCCAAGAGTGCTCTGCCATCGCCAAAAACACCTCGCACATCACTATTTAGCAGACCACACGATCGACTAACGAAGAACACAGTGCCCACGCTCCGTGGACGAATAATACAGGATAAGCAATCTTTCCTTCGCTGGGACAAAACGACGTCTCGAGGGCGGTGGTTACACAATGTAAGGGGCGGAAACATGCCTCGGTCAGGAAAGGTCGCCAAGACGCCGGATCGCCTTGCCCTTCAAAGCAAGGACTCCCGATTTGGCCGCGGAGACCTTCTAAAAACTAAAAACCTTAGCCTTGGGGCTGGACAGGAATGCGGCCCTCACGGCCACAAAGGACTAAGGACACCTGCCCGTAGAGACCTCCTCGGGCTCGTGGCGACACCGGTGGTGGACAACAACACTACTTCTAACATGTATTGGGCCGAGATCGACAACCGGATTGGTACCACGTGTTTAGTACCTGGTGCTCAAATAACAAACCAATCCAACACAGAACCGACAACGGGACCAGGTATGTGTGCACAACGTGTAAGTCGCCAACCACTCGAAGCCGGGTGTTTGCTTACCGCGATGTCCGCGTCGTCGGTGCCTTCCCTCTCAGCCTTCATCATCGCCACGAACAAGCTCATGCGGAACGTCAGCTCTTCCTTCGAGATCTGGTGACCCTGACAAAAAACACAATAAAAGGAAAGGGGGGCAGGAAGGATATACAACAAGATGTTTGCTCCAACGAAAACGGCAAATAAAAGAGCGCTTCCACGCTGACTATACTGCCCAAAGGAATGGTGTAGACGACAATGACGAATACATCACAAACCTTTCAACACAAAACAAGCATTGCCCGACTCGTCCCACATACCATTGAACATCATTACCACCACCACCACCACCGAGAACAATGACAATGACAACAACACACGCATACAAGTACAGGCACCGGCCCAGCGCGCCGATGCATAGTTCCGTATAAAGACGGGCCAAGGAAAGCTGCCCATCCATGTACATGTATGCAACATTTTTGGTCTCACATGTCCCGGAGACGCGGTCATCCCTGCAGGTGCCGTCCGCGCAAACGCTCCTCGGACCGACTGTTGCCACGTCCTAGCGGGCACGCTCAGCACCACCGATCGCAAAAATGCCTCAATCTGTCTCAACAAACCACCGAGAAGGAGTAAAGGGTGAGGTTGAGGCGGAGGAAGACGGGATACCTTGATTGTGGTTTTCGATATTGCGGGGCCGCTGTGGAGGACGAGGTTAAACAAGCATGGAAGACAGGCCTTCCAGTACGAAAGAAACAACTGCTTCTGCGCGATCACGTCGATACGGTACAGCCCTCCGAAGCTTCCGGTCTACCCATCAGGACGTTGCGATTCGACCATGCGACACACCGTGTTCTCTGAGCAATCCTGGGACACGGCGCATGCTGCCTCAACGTCGCGAATGACACTATTAATAGCACAATTACAACACGGCACTTCGCTTTGGCAATAGCAATAAACATTCCATCCAACTTGGTACGCCACAGGCAAGTTAGGGCAAGAGTACCGCTCGATCGAGCTTCGGTGTGGTCGAACAATCAGCTTCTAAACGCGCAAGGATAAGGAGCCACACAACGTCCACAGCAGTAGTAAATTAGCGTACAATAACCACGTGCACGGCGACGGTCGATGTTCTTGCCTTGATCGTGTGGCGCGTCTTGAGGACCGGCACGTCTAGCTCCTCCAAGGCCACCTGCTCCAAAACCTGGATGCGGGCGAAGGGGAACGCTAAGTTAAAATGGCTCTCTCAGACACATCACCTCCGTAGGAGCTAACAGGTTTGATTTCTTTCGCTAAGACAGTTCAACGTTTCGACCATTCTGTACCATCAAGGTAGCAGGTGTCTGTTCGTGCAGATCGTTTGAAGAAATTTGCGCCCAAGTCACCCAAGCCCGCCGAGACTAGACGCTCCAGCCGATGGTGACGAAGCCATTCCCCCCGCCAGCTGCAAAGGACAATGCTGTATCGCAGCATGAATCGGGTTGGTGTGCCGTTTTACGCTTAGATACGATTAAAACAACAGCAGCGATGCGCCGATGACACCAAGAGCAGCTCAACATTGCTATTGCTATTGCCATTGCCATTGCCATTGCCACGTCCACACCACTGGACGACTCACGCTCGCACCCCGCCACCAAGCGTGCGGTACTGTCAAGGTAACCCTAAGACATCGACAAACGACTGGCCGCTTCGTCTACTCTGTTCTTCTCTTCTTTCATTTTCTCCGTCCCGTCTATATCCTGGACACCGGTCTACCACACCTTTCAAACTCAGCTAACGTGACCAACGCCCAAGGCACGCAGCATCGCACACAAAACCGCCACACACACAAAAAATAAAAATCATCACACACTTTATCACCTGAAGGAGAACGAGGGCGCAGTTTTCCTCGTGACTGGCGTCGGGGTAGACGCTGGACAGGTAGAGCCTTACACCTTGGGTAATAGTCGTCTCTCCGGGAAGCTTGTCGTCCCAATCGAGGACCCTGGCCCCCCGCGGCTGCTGCTGACCTTGGTGAAGCTCATTGCCGAAGTTCAAGTCGTTCTCGCCCTCGTCCCACAAGTCGCCGGGGGGCTCGCTGCCGCCGCCTGTCTCCGTGCGTTTGACCTCTGCCTGTTTGTCGAAACCGGCTAGCTGGTTGCCGAGGTTGTCCCAGGGATTCGACAAAGGACCCGGGGCCAACGGGCTCAGGCCATCTTCGGTCGAGTGCAGCACCGCTTGCCCAAGCTTAGGAAGCAGGGTTAAAGTCGCGCCGTTATATGGAGAGAGAGCAAGCACATGGGAGAAGGGATATGAACGTCCTGCGCTACCTCGTTTTCGCTTGAAGTTCGAAAAATAATTTGAGAGGCCTTAGCGTCAAAACAACAAGTCAATTTATACGGCGTGCCGATTCATGCGGCGGAGAGTCATTGTTCGTGCGGCACCTATAGATGCCGCCGACATTCTACGCGCACGCGCAAAATCAGCCGAGCGGTTCTAGATCTCGATCTAACGCTTAATTGATTTGACCCCCCAACACAGGCGAAATCGCTGCTACACGCACCACGACACGACGGGCGGGGTACATATATTGTGGAAGCAGTGACAACGACGCTGAGTGTCGAACCCCACAACTCACAGGTCACTGCTTCGCCTTTCTTGCTACAACGTCCAACGTGCTAGACTACTACATGTATTCTACCATCACTGGTGCCGTCAAGCTCACGACCATCTACCAACGGGGGCATCGCTGTGCTCTGGTACAAAACAGCGGAGCAAGCAGCGAGCCACGTGCTGACATACCAACCGGTCGCCCCGGTGGTCTAGTGGGTAACCTCGCAGCCTGCCAAGGGCCAGGTCATGGGTTCGAGTCCCGGCAAAGTGAGTTGTTTTCCTCAATTAACGAATCCTGGTCTAAATTGGAAGCGACGCGCTGCAAAGCTCGTTGTTAGTAAACTCGATCGACTTCATTACCATATACGACACAAGATAACCACCCTCTGGGCCAATTTTCAAAGCTCGATTGCGCCACGACGAAGAACATGCATAAACGAAACGATACATTTTCGGAAAGCTCTCGACAAGGCGGCTTCACCGACCACACGTGTTGCAGCCCATGGAAAAATAACCATTTTTATTTTCTTATACAGTCAAAAACAAATCATGGAATCACAACCCGGGAGGTTGCGCCGCGAGGAAATCTCGGTTGTTCTGCTCCACCTCTCGCAATAGGGGCGATCCCAAAATGTGCACATCAGCATATCGATCCTCACCCACCACTCTGTACACCTGCCGATTCTTGGGCGATTTGGTGTACTCTACGAACGTGTATATTTGCTCGAAGTTACAAAGTGTGCTTCCAGGATTTGATTCCCGTGATAAACTTGGAGGTAGACTCATGAGCATGTCTGGTGTCTCTCTTTCTTTTTTTTGCTTCTGGTAGGAATACTGGAGTTTAGAGTGAATATCGGCTGCATCTTGTCCACTTCTACAGGCTAAGTCCGATCGCCAGAGTGCCGATCCCAAATTGTGCACATCGGCAAATCGTTCAACACCTATGAAGCTATACACATCCAAGTTTTGGGTCGATTTGGTGCACTCTACGAACGTGTATATTGGCGTGAAAGTTGCTTCCTGAGAGCTGAAAGGTTGCCTGCTGCAGAGGGAAAACGACTTCAATCCAGGTGTGATGGTGCAGCATTTCTCCCGTTCAGAGCAAATCAGAGCGTAAAACCAGCTCACGGGTGGAGTTGATAGCATTCTTGAGGTGCCCCTCTACTTTGGTGGCAAGCCATGCCTTGTGTGCGAAGCACGAGGTGATGAAACAAGTGGGTTCAGCAGCCTTCGTGTTGGGGAGGGGTTGCCAACAACAAAACCCGCTGAAACCCGCGGCATGATTTTTTGACCGCATATATATATATAATTTTTTTTTCTTAATATGACACACCGAAACCATCTCTATCATAGAAAAGAGTCTGAGACAGATTAGCAATGGATTCATAGCGTCAGAAAGTACCTGTATGTCTACGATTTCCCAGACAGCATATAGGGACATCTCCCCTGCGGGTAACAGGCTCAACAAGACAGTTTGGTAGCTGTCTTGTGTGTCTCATACATGTTATGTTGGGAAGGTGCAGATGATATGTGTTAGGTACTGGTCGGGCGTTTTGTGTGTGACACCCTTTTAATCGTAGGGCATGCAATCTCCCTCAGTTTACAAACGTATTTTCAATGTGGTACGCGTATGTACCGGGTATTTGGGTTGTATATGTGTGGATACATTTCGGAGTATGTGCGGACACACGGGCGTTTTTTTCGTTTTCCATGGACTGCAACACGTGTGCGACGCCGTTTTCGGCGCTGTGACTCGCTCTGCGGTCGAGAAATCGAGCTTTGAAAATCGGTCCAGGGGGTGTGTTATCTTGTGTCGTATACGGTAGTCGCGAGGGAAGGGATTGCTGTACCCTTCTCGCGATAAAACTATCTCAGGCAGGAACCGCAGGAGGGGGTCCGACCCCCCCCTCCTATGTGACCCCGGTTGGGTCGTCTAGCTAGTAGAAGTGGAGGATGGGGGCCAGAGGGGCAGACGACAGAGTCCAATGATGGGAGAAAAAAAAAAGAAAAGCAATCGGTACGAGAGTATGGTAAGCGGAGTGATGTTTCGCATGTCGTGTCGGCCATAAACGAGCGAATTACGGCCAAGATATACTCGGAGTACAGCACAAGCAGGAGAACACACCAGCTTTGCCATTCCATACCTTGGAGTCTACTTGTCAGCGTGCGGGGAAACAGAGTCTCGTCATATTCCTGCGGATGCGGCCGCAAACTCGTACTGAAATCAAACCATCGCTAAGCACTATCTCGTTGTGTTAGAAGCTAGCATCACTATCGTTGATAAACAGGAGAACAGGCTCCTGTGTTAGGGGGCGGCCTAAGGTCGCAAAGCTAGTCTGGTCTACTGGGCAGGGTGATTTCGGAACGAATTGCGGCGAGTCTATCCACCTATTTACATATATCTCGCGCGGCTTTCTCTCACCTGGCTACCGCGTACGCCAAAACCTTCCACCATCCCGCCACCGCCGGCGGAGCTGGCGAGAGACGTTGCTGCGGAGCCGCCCTCGCTGTCTTCCCCGTGGAGCTTGAGCTTCGACACGAAGAGGCCGTGCTGCTGCTGATGCCTTGCTCTGTCAATGTCAATAGACTTGACAGATGATGAGTCTTTACCTTTTCGTGGGGGATGCGTGAAACCCAGACCCTCGCACTTCGACAGCAGCTCGGCCCGCCTCTCCAGCTGCCTTTGCCGCATGGCTTGCTTGTACTGGGCCGGGTTCATGGCTGCAAGGGCGCCTAGACGCTCGCTTCAACCTGTAGCAGGCGCGGATGTAAGAAGGCCGCAGGCTAACTGCTAACTCTGCGATCACAATGCAACGATGCCTTTCGCACGCTCACACACAGCAGTGATACTTCCGACCAAGCTGCTTTACTGGCTCCCCTCAAAGCTTTTCGCGGTGCGAATTAGGCCGGCCCTGAGTTTCAACTGTATCCCGGTTGGACGGTAGAGGGCTATCACGAGTGAGTTCGCTGTGGGTGCCTTTCTCCGCCTGTTTCGTCTGGTACTGGGTAGCCCCTCCGAATACGGCTCAACTCAAATACTTGTACTCAAGCGCAGACGCAAGACTGCAAGACTGCGCAAGACGCAAGATGGAGTTACGCCGCATCTCCGAAAAAACGAACACACATGAGAGAAGGAGGCGTTTGTGTTGAGAACCTGTGTAACGTTTTTTCGTGTGGATCGTGACTTCGACGTCGGCAGGAACGTCCGCTTGTCTAAGCATCTAAAGGGTTAGCGAAGAGCACATAGATACGCAGACGCCTCGATCGATCGCCCGTGCCGACGTTTAGACCTCGCAGTAATATCACGCAAGAAGGAAGGTGTCATGCAGAATCTGGAGGTAGGTGACTGGCGCGGGGTATTTCGCTTCACGGATGGCGTCATCCCCTGGGATATGTCGCCATCGGCAGAAGAAAACGACGATATCCGTGCACCGGACAGCATGCCTGCCGAGTGGACCAAGCGCAGCATGCCCGATGTCGTAGAGTGGCACAACCCCTGCTACTCGCATGGGCCATCGAAGAACGTCCCGGAGGATTTCTGCTCAGAAGCTGTCCCTAGAACAACAGCCGCAGCAGGAGAGGAGGCAGCTGATCCTCCTCCTCAACCAGCAGCGAGATATGATGGTACGCGCTCCGGTCCAGCTTGGACGGTCGCTTTGTGCGCACTATGGGGGTGTCGCGACACCCAAGGTCTCAAAGCATCTCTCCACGTAGCGGGAAGGGTTGTTCTGGACCTTCTCCCTTCGGAGCTTAGCAAGGCATTCGTCGACTATGAACGCGCGATCAGTGAGAAGCGGGCAAACTTCACACACATCTTTACACCATCAGGTGACAAACATGATCATGACATGTGTGTGTGAGTCCCCCCGTAAGGGGTGTTCTCCACCCCTTTGATCCAAGAAAGGGAACATGGGTCAGTATATTGCGTACGTAGCGTAGCATTTTGTGTACACAGCAGAAAGACACGGCAATTTGTACTTTAGTCTACTGTATGAGTATTGATATCTACCGCCGCCTGAAACCGTATGCTCGTTCGTGTACACGGGGAGCAGAAAAACAAAAAAATGTCGCCGCCATTCCACGTCTACCTGTCCATGACACGTGCTGCCAACTGATGCGACAATTGATGCGACGACACCTGGGTACAACATGGACACAGGGAGTACTCCCCCTGCCCATACACCGTCAAATTGCTTACAAACAAACTAGAACAACCTCTTTTTGCTCTCATGCCAAATACAAAAATGATGTAACATACATGAAATGATCGACCCTGTCTTTACTTGTGGTCCACGCTGCCTACTAGTGGGAGAGATAGTCATACCTTCTACCTACATACGAGCGAGATTGGTAGCCATACCCACTGCATTTAACACACACCCACAATCGGTGATGAAACCTCAACCACATGCCTCTATCGACGACCACGTCAGGAGGCAATGAAGAAAAAATGTTCTCCCGTGCCATTTGCAGATATAACAGCACGAAATTACACAAAAAGGTAAGAAAATGGTGAGACCACGCCCGTGTGTCCGCACATACTCCGAAATGTATCCACACATATACAACCCAAATACCCGGTACATACGCGTACCACATTGAAAATACGTTTGTAAACTGAGGGAGATTGCATGCCCTACGATTAAAAGGGTGTCACACACAAAACGCCCGACCAGTACCTAACACATATCATCTGCACCTTCCCAACATAACATGTATGAGACACACAAGACAGCTACCAAACTGTCTTGTTGAGCCTGTTACCCGCAGGGGAGATGTCCCTATATGCTGTCTGGGAAATCGTAGACATACAGGTACTTTCTGACGCTATGAATCCATTGCTAATCTGTCTCAGACTCTTTTCTATGATGATAGAGATGGTTTCGTTGTGTCATATTAAGAAAGAAAAAAATCTAGTCTACGAAGTCTGTTCTTAATAATCCTCATGAAAAAGAATGTCTACAGCCTCCTCTCCCTTCCACGACCATCTTTCCAGCCGCGAAGGTCCTACAACGTGTGGTGTTCGAACATCCTTCTGAGAGATTTTGAAAGAGACAACAACTCAGCACGTAGAAATGGGTGTAGAAAATATATCTTGTCGACAGTGTCCACCAGAAATCATGACCGACCATTGTCGCTACGTAAGCGTTACGGGTTACCAGAATACCATACCCTTACCAGGCCGACCATGCTGCTTTTTGGGTAGACGTGGAAGAAGCTTACAACTCAAGCTCTGGAACCGTCCATCAATGATGCCTAAGGCCTTGGTTTTCGTAAATATGCTAAGAATTGACGCGAAGAGGTTAACGTCGTTGTCGTCCTCGCTTCTGTCTGTCTGTCTGTCTGTCTCCGTCTCCGTCTTTGTTTCTGTCTCTCTCTTTACACCCTCTTTACCTCCTTTCCTCTCTCTATATTCGACAGTCGAAAATCTGGTCGTGGCAGTGGCAGCAAAGTTCAAGCAGGAAGTGACGGCGAGTCTCCCTCTCCACGTGCTTCAGGTATGCGAGGAAATAAACACTCCACCCCGTAATATTTCGGGGAGCCTTGGTATTTAAAAATATTCAACTTCGAATTGATTTTGTACGGAGTGTTGGATATAGTTGCATATCAACTGTTTGGCATGCGTGTAGATGTTCGCAGTGCTTTTGGACAAAGTTTTGGACTAACGCAGTCTCGGAACCACTGCACAACAGCCGTCCTGGTCATCTGGTTGACCTTCAGGATGTCGAGTGTATCAAATACATACTTTTCTAACATGGAAATTGGAGATTGGCACTCCAGCAGTAGGTCTTCTTCTGAAAATACACATCGTGGTATTTTTTGCAGAAACAGGTCAAGTCGGAAACCGCGCTCTAATACAAAATGTTTTTGAACACGAAAAAAATACCGAGCCCTAAACAGGTGAGGACAACCACTAACCAGCAGCAACTACCCCCTGCCGCCACCCCCGCCGATCATCACTGCTGTATTGTGTTGTTTTAGCTTGTCTTCGGGTTCATCCGTTTGTCGGACAACGGCGTGCTGTGCACGGTGAACCAGGATTTTCGGGAAGCCGCAGAGGGAGATGGTCTGTGGCGTGAAGCGTACGACGAACGGTTTCCAGTTCTTCAGAGTGAAACAAGCGAGAGTGCTGGGCAAGGAGGTCCCGATGCTGGCGGCGGTGGTTGTGGCCCTGTTGATTGCAGGGAAGCCACTGCCACTAAGCCGACGGCAAGCGGAAGAAATTCGTCTACCGGTGATGAGAAAGGTGATGGCTTCAAAGGTCGCTACAAGAGGCGATTGCTGGACCCCCATGTGAGTCGGCGTCTTGGTGAAGTGGAACCGTCAATATATTGAAATAGCCGAGGAGATCGTGGGTGTGGAGCACGTCGACATGGGAAGGGTGCGGGAGGCGGATAAAGGTTAAGGATAACAACGCCAACGTAAACCCTTCAGAAAAAATTGCTTCGGTGTGGTATCAAATTGCAGGACGTTGGTCCCGTCGAAAAGAGTCAGCCTCCAATTATCATTACGGGTTCCCTACACTTGAGCAAGAGCCTTCCCAACACAAAAAAACCGTACCCTTGGTACTCTGTACCTTCTATTAATGGACACACCTTGCAGCACGAAACCACGTCATGAACAAAAAGCCTTCTTTGCTCACCTGGTTTGTCTTTGCGTTGTTGTCGACGGTGCTCCTGCTGCCGGTCCCACTTACTATTTCGTTCAATTTCAATTTCTTTGTTGGCAGGTGGGTGACGAGGTGCAGGTGGCATGGAAAGGAAAGTTTAGATTGGAGTCCTTGGAGGTGTACGACGGGACGGCCTGGTGGCTAGCCCGGGTCGTGGACAAGGGAGAAAAACCCGGCTACTACAAGGTACGGTAGTCCCTCCTGTTGTATACGGCCCCACAGCGCCAAGGGGTTTGGCCGGCCCTATGGCGGGTGCCCTGCCCTACTCAGAGCATGAGGCGACTTGACTATCCCGCATGAGTCATGAAGCCTCACCGGGCTTGTACAGAGCAACTGACCTTATGTATGGGGCCTTGTACAGGGTGACCACTACGTGGCATCTATTGTAGGTGAACTTGGTCTTTGAAATTTCTTTGATATTGTTCCCAAAACAGTGTTTTTTATTTTTGTTACAATACGATGAAGATTCACCGGCGCGATGAAGTTCCCCCACATATATATGGACAGCGCGGGCGTCGCGGGTGTTCTCAGATAACATTTCCCACAAAGGTTTTTCGAAAGACGCGGGCACCTTTCCGGTTGCCAACCCAACAAATACCCGGCGAAGATGTCCTTCGCGGCACTCGTACTCGAGTGTGTTCTCTCGTATCATGAGGGGAAAGCGTCAGCCCTCTCCCTGTTTCTGCGTATCACCACAAAGTGACGACGCCACCACGTGCCTTATCGCGGACTCCAACCGAAGATTGTGGCAACACATGTTGCGTGAGGTTCATGCCAGCAAGCGGCGCTCTCACCCAAGGTGGCTTCCTTGCCGTACGCCAAGCAGACAAGAAAACGAAAAAACAAGCAGATGAGCCCTCCCTATCCCCCCGCCTCCCCCCTCTATGACACCCAAGGTCCACTACCCAGGATGGGAGCCAAAGTGGGACGAATGGGTGGTTCGCGACCGGCTGAGGTGGGGCAATGAGCACCTTGCGGCACCCCTGAAAGGGATCCCTCTTCAAGCGGGGGACGCCGTCGAGGTGTGGTGCAAAGGTTTGCACGTGCCGGGAGCTTGGCTTGAGGCGGTGGTGTACGAGGTCGAGAAGGAGCGCGTTTACCTCGGGGAGGTGCGTTCGAAGGGATCAGGGGGAATCGGTCGGGTGCTGTTTGTTGGTCTTTGGCTGGAGTTTGCCACTCGTGTATCAATCTCGTACGGCGCAAATAAAAATAGTTCGAGAGCAAACAAGAGCCTCGTCTCCCCCGCCTTCGGATTTGTTTGCTAGCCGTCACTTGCAGTTTGTAACGCTCCCATCGATCTTGTGATTTAACAGTTTCGATTCGGGGTGACAACAAGAAAGTGAAATCCGTTGGGGTGCATGCCTTCTCCGCATTTCTTCCACGAAATGTACTCATGAATAAGCGGCTTCCAATGAGCAAAAAAGGCACACCTTGAACTCTCAACCTACAGTAGCCGCTAGAACAAATACAGGGTACCAACTATTGTTGTAGACCATGTCTGCCTGTCTGTCTCTTGCCGAACCATCAGACACAGCAAGCTTCCCTCTCATTACTTCGTACAGTCACTGTACGCCTGTCATTGTCTCCCTCGCCGGAGCCCCTCAGCCCCGCCCCGCCCCCTCGTATCGAACGACGCCCAGCAGGTGCTTACATCCGGCCATTTTTGGGCGAGGACGGAGCACGTGCGCCTGATCCAAAAGGGTCCTGTTGACGACGATGGGGGAGAGTTTCGGCTAGGCTACACGTCGGCGTGCCGCAGAAGAAGCAACAGCGTTCTTCTCCAATGCCTGACTGACGCTGGTTTCACCACCGAGAGCACCTGCTGCTACTGCTCCGTACAGTGATGATACACCTCGTGTGCCATTTATTCCCCGTGATGGAATCTAGACTACCTCTTTCGCGACGTCTTGCGATCAAAACACTTTTTCCCGGCCGTGACGTGAACTGGCACTTTCACACAAACGAAGCTGCCATACATTGTGAATATAGACCACTGTTTTTTCAAAGCGTATTGGGCGCTGACATGTCGTGGAATTCCAAGCTACTGTGGTCCTTCACAACTTTCGTGTGTGTTACCAATCAGATGTTGGATGTTTCCTACAGGCCGGGCAGGCGGGGGCCGTTGTTGTGAACGTGGTAAACTCCAACGGGGTTGGGTGGGCGTAAATTTATTGTTTTAAAACGAACGTGGATTCGCTACGGCTGCGTGCTTCGCCTTCGTGCGATACCACGTGACATACAAGCGTGGCAAAGAGAGCACTTGTTTCATGTTCATTTATTGTGTACACTGTATCTTCATAAGGAGTGGTCGCAGCAGAAGCAGAAAGCAGAGGCTAAAAAGAAGTACCATGACAGTTCCTTGTTACTCCATCATCATGTTACCTGTAAGTGTCTTGGTTCTCAATTTTAGCGTTGTACCACAGCCGGAGTGAAACTTTGTGCGTGTTGATGTCCGCACCTTAGACTGTCAATATGTAGAGTGTACGGTGAGGGCGTGTGTGTACATGGCCCGTGAGTAAGTGTGGATGAGCGCGGGGAATTTCACGCTACAGCAGCGGGGTGACAACATCATTGCTTTACAGTTGGGCAGCTCAACATGCGTGTGTTTTTATGACTATATTGCAGCACACATGCATTGAGGAAACATTTACGAAGTGATTTTCGATGTACGTTTACGATCTATGACGATATCGCTTTCAAACCAAGACGCACTGAGAGACGTAGGGACCATCGCGGACGTGTACAACAAGGTTCTTGTACAGGGAGCAGATGCAGGAGTGCTCACAGCGTGCTTGACTTAGCAGGGGGAGGGGCATTGTTTTTCGGCCATCTACTGTTGTTCTCCACCTGAAATATAGTATTGGTTGTAGTGGCATTGGGGGGTGTTTGTAATCAAGAGCTCACGAATGAACCATTGCGGTTGCCGAGGACTGCTGTGGGCACCAAAGGAATACATACATACGAACCTACGAAATTCGTGCTTGCAACCAGAAAAGTTACGGCAGCTTGAGACACACAAGCACATATTCACGGATGAAACCTTGCGACAATTTTTACACGTCCATCGTATACATGACTCGGGAGAACACGTAGCTTGCCCCCGAATCTTGACGTTCTAATTTGTTCATCTACCAAGACATGAACGAACCAGCGAAACAAGCTAACGACCCCCCACCCACCGTGTGTGTCTCGCAGCACTACAGCCAACACTCTAAAGTGAAGTAATTTTGCCCAATAATTTCTACCATACTCCTGATGTAGAATGCTCCGCCTACAGAGTAGTAACGCACATGTAGGCCACAGAAGCAATCGAAACACGGAGGAGCCATCTCACCAACAGGTCAGAACTGATACAGTATCACACAGACCTCAAAATCGCGATACTTTTTTCAGGTAGTATGTTACAATGCTTGTAGTGATACGCATTGTCGGGGTCATGAGCGATGTGCCACAAACATCACCGTCCTCGCCGTCCAAGGTTGGGAATGTCCTCCGCCCTGACCGGTATGGCTCCTACGTGTGGAAAGAAACTCGTAATGCAATAGAGTCAGCCGAATACCTCCTTTGTAACACAGCAGTTGCATATCCTCCTCAACATTCAATCCAGTTCGTCACGTGCCTTGTGATGCAGAAAGTGACCATACCATTGCTGCTATCCTGTATCGTCATGCCAGGCCACTACCGTACCCCAAAAATCTCAAGCGCCCCCGCCGCTTGCCAACAGCTCCTGGAAATACTTCCACGCAACCGCGAACAAGGCCCCTTGGAGAGCGTTGACGAGGATTCTCGTCTGGAGACCTCGCAAGAAGAGACCCGGCACACCGTCGTCGTCCAAGACCTGCTTCAAAGCTTCCGGGTAGGATAGCTGTCCGCAGACAGACGGGTGTTTCACACAAGATTGGGAGCGGGGGGGGTTGTCAGCTTCCCCCGTGCACCGTGATATTTGACTATTGTGCAAACCGCCAGCCCTGCGCTGGCAACAAAGTTTGACTAGAGAGGACGGGTAGCAATCGGAAGACAGCCCCTCATCCCGTAGTGTTAGTGTTAGCGCTAGGGTGTCGCCGCTCTGCCGCTGTGCTAACCTCCCTCATACCCGATGCTGGTCTGACGTATGCATGTACACTTTCTTGCACAGTGTTCTCGGCGCACTCTGCTTGCTTACTGGTACTATAATACTACATTTATCTTTTCTGCTACAAGTACTAGGTGCATGCCACGTATCTCTTCAGCAGCATGATCGTACCGGTATCGGCGCGGTCTGCTTGGTCGTCTTGATCACGCGGATGGAGTTGCTGCAGCAGTCCGACACGCAAGAAGAACACAGCCCTAGAGAAAAAGAGAACCGACACCATCACCGATACAAAAAAAAAAAAGAGAGCATAGCATCGAGAAGATGGGTTGGGTTGAACCAAGTGATGGGTGAGTGCTTCCAAGGGCTTGGACATGCTCGCGTCCGGCGTTCACGGCAAGCAACTTGCTAATTTTCTAACGTTTTTGTTTTTACGCCCTTGTGTCAATACACTTCCACATTTCAAGGCGTTTCGCCCGAAGGCGTCGGTACTCAGTACCGCAAAAAAACCCGAATCCATCCCCGACAACAAGCATTCAATTTTCTGCAAGGCTACGAGATGAAAAGAAAGGCGTGAAAATCAACACCCCCGGGAGAGCTGAAGGAGGAAACGTCAACTTGCCGAGAAGGGCCTGTCTCCCAAGCTTGAGCAGCGGTTCCCCTGATGGAGCCGGGGGCAGCCACGCTCCCAACGAATTGTACGTGAAGTACCTTCCAATCGAACGATTCCAGGACAGAGCGGGCGGACAACACGTGTGTACATGAGGGAGACCAGAAGTTGACGGGGAGGAAATGGTTGACGTTCAGGTCGGCAAGGTAGTACGGCGGATGAAGCACGGGGCGGAAGGCGGAGGAAATGCCAACAGCAGGACAGAGAGTTCCTTCAAATGGACAAGAACAGAACTAGCTCACAAATACAATCCCAGACTCAGTTTCTCAAGTATTTCGTCGCCACCGCCGAGAACAGGTTATCATGGTATAGAGCTAGTTTAGTGTAGGATCCACCTCCTAGCCAATAAATCAAAAATGTATCTCTTTAACCCTACAAACGCGATTTAACTTTCTTGGTGAAAAATTGAGCCTCTACCATATTTCTTAGTGGATTACCATGACTCTACCATATTTACTGGTTGAATACCATGGTATTTCTTAACTACTGGCCCATGCTGTAGAGCATTTGGTGCCGTCAACGAACGACATCTCGACAACGCGATACCGCGGAGGAAAACCGAAGACTACAGCAGCACTACTCTATTCATAGTCGTCTCCCCACAAACCGTGGCGGCGGCTTCTGGTCCCACAACAAAAGACCAGAAGAAGAGCGGTCGAAATCGAGTCGATCTCTCACCCTCACCAGGGATAGTGTCCGACAAATGTAGCCGAGGCGGTCGCTAAGGCACCCTCGAAGAGGACGGTAGGTCCGTTCGCCGCCACTTTCTCCGCCAGGAGCTTGGTTCCCTCAGCCCCGGAAACCTTGGCAGAAAGAGAGGGGAGACAGCCGTAGAAGGGGGAGCAGGCTCGATGTCTAGACTGTGACGCGCTGATGCTTGTGGATATCAAGTATGGGAGAGGACGTCTTGTATGGTCTCTAGAGCGACGGAAAAAGTACGGTGGTTGATGGCTGTGGTTGTTTCAGCTTTATCAGGCACAACCTGCTGCATGGGATAGTACCACAGCCCCGCGACACTATCGTTAACGTGCAAAACGCCAACACCAAGACTGTGGCGGTCAACCTAACCTAGTAGCGGTTAACCTGCAAAGTGGTCTTGTAGGCGTCTATTGGCGTGAGGCCGATGCGCCACAATCCCGCAGCGAGGCTCCCCGCCGCCGACTTGACCGGCAGTGGCAACGATCGAGTGGACTCAAATGCCTCCAGCAAGGCCAGGACTCCCACGTTTGCGGCCGTATCCCCAAACCTTGAACAATGGAGCGATGGGGGTGGTAGACGTGGGCAGGTAGGTGTTCAGGTTTTGGGTGCCTGTTTTTCGTTCGGGAGAAAAAACGACTAATACACCACCCCCCGACATGACTCTGTCCTCGTGGGGATGCGTGGTCAATGGTCTAACCGCTAAGGCATGCCAACCATGAGTACGCCCCCCCCCCCCCCCCGACACATTGGAATGGTGGTACTGAAAAAAAACTTGGAGTGACAAAGACCGCTCCTCCCACGTGTCCATCCCCAGTGCAGTAGCCGCGTTGTGGCAAAGAGATTTCGCGTTGTTAAATGATCGGCACCTTCTTCATTTGGTACTTCTGACCTACCTGCTAAGAGGGCCTTGCACCAGCGCGAAAGACACTCCTCGGTACAGCCTCGAAAGTCCCCCTTCTTCCCATAGCGTCTGGAGGGCTTCCTTGGTAGAGCCCCCGTTCTTGTACTGAGGCGTGCATACCGCGTCGGACGCACGAATCGTCAAAGTCGGTCCCAAGTTCACGGCAGCATCTACCACTGGACGATATCGCTAGACACAAGCGCAGGACCGATGTACACGCATCAGAAATTTCGCTACAAAACCGTCGATGCGAACGTGCGCGCGTGTACGTATGCGATGCGGCAGGGGGCGCCGTGGAGACACACTGACAACAAACACATGCGTGAACGCCGGCGACGCTGGTTCGTTGTCCAAGCGCGTGAAGCAGACCGCGGGGAAAGGTGCAGCAGTGCGCCCAATGGCACCAGCCTTATACTTGCTGCCACGAAACATAAAGCAAGTCGTTTGTCACAGCAGATGCAAAAGAAGATACGGAGACACTTTGTGGTGTAGTCTGGGCTTACCCCTACGGGTGTTCGGCGTCCTTTCGCTGCTACATGCATCGAGCAAGCCACGAGAGATAGTCTATACCGCGAAGAGATCTTTAGTCTAACCCGGTTGCTGCGCTCACCTGATAGTTCATCGTGGTCCGAAGCCACATGAGAGACAGCACCTGCACCACCGCCGCCGCCGCACCGCTAGCACCCCCACCTAACGCCCGGCTCCCTGGCACAAAAACGGTGTCGGGGAACAGGATTCGATTCGTTTCGACGGGGTCGTGTTGCCATCCATACAACTATTGGTACGACGTAGAAGGGACAGGGTCAAGGTGTCGGAAGCTCTTGCTGAGGCATTGAAACTACTGCTGTAGGGGGGTGCACGACGATTGTGTCACGACTAGGACTAGAGTAGGACTAGCACGCCTCCTACGAAGAAGAACCCGGGATCCACATGGCATTAACCAAGACGTCCGGATGACGTATCCAACCCGCTGGTCAGCACATCTTAGCGCACTACAAGCGGCAACGAGTTGTACCACTACACTGCTGTTACATCTGCAGAAAACTATCCGTGTGTTTGTCCATGACACACGCGAAAGCGCACGAAACCGAAGCTCTGTGTGGCGCACTCGCAACCTCGTATCGCGTGAAGGAACGGTCCCGACCTACTAGACTAGACGACTAGACCCGTCAAGGTTTTCGCACGGTGACTACTGCTGTACAGTCAGTCAGGAACCCACCAGCCTTTGCGAAGATTGCCCCAACATCCACAGAGGCGGCCGCCGTGGTTGCTTGTGCGACCAACTCAACACTACCCGGAGCCGTAGTCGCGGCAGAGGCGACATCAAGAGGGCCTAACGCTAAGTAGCTGAACGCCGCCATGGCCACGGCTACTGCTGCAGTGACATCGACTATCGATGTTGACGTTGCCCCGACGGCGGGACTGTCATCTTGATACATGACATCGCCGGCGGGAGAGCGTTCGGCAGGACGAGGGGCCGCGAGAAGGAGCGAAGGTGTCCGCGCATCTGCCGCTGCTTCTTCTTCCTCGGCGTTGGGGCTGCTGTAGAGGGATGTCGTGGTTGCTCGCTGCTCGTTGAACCGCCCTGATAATGAGGGTTGTCGCTGTCGCTGCGCTGTTTTTTTTCTCTGAGTCAAACAGCATGGTTTGCCCAAGGTCCCGCTCAGAAAAGCTGGGCTCGATGCTGACCGTGCTGATGATGGTGACGCCAGAGGGCCTGCTAGTAGAGCAAGGACCACGGCGGGTTTCATGGTGAGCCCACGCCAGCGCGCGCCAGGGAAAAGTGCGTGCGAGCACGAGCAGACGAAGATAGAGGGTGTGAGCAAGTCAGAAGCGAGAAGGTAGATAATAGTAGATGGTAGTAGATAGTAGACAGCGTGTCTCCGTACGCACCGCCTCCTTGCATTTAATTGCGCCGCATGTGCATGGCGCGCGAGCAGGAGGAGACGGAGAGAGCAAGAGCACATGAGCGAGGGAGAGGGAGAGAGAGAGGAGGACGCTAACCCAGGGTAGAGAAGCGCAGGCAAGAGAGGACGGACGACGCAGAACAACAGCCGATTTGCAGGGAAACGGCAATCTTGTCCTGAAAGTTGCACCTGCTGCGGTCGGTACACCGAAAGCCCCCTCATGAGACCTTGTGCACGCTCCGCTCTATCCGTATGGCTAGGTCTACAGCAACAGGCGTCCTCCTTCATCTTCCCTGGCATCTGCAACCCCAAACAGTCAAGACACCTGGACAGGCAGTCGACGGCCGTGCTGCTCCAAGGCGGAGGGTTGGAGGGTAGTCCCGCCAACCCCCACACCCAGACTTCCGACATCCAAGCAGCACCAGATCATGATGATCGCAACGGCGAGATGAGCAACGGGGATGATGAAGGTGAACTCAGTTCACGCAGAGAGCAGGGACCATGTAGCGGAGCGCAGCGTGTTTGTTCTGCCGCAACGGTTTACTGCTTAGTGCACGTGGTGTGCGCACATCGTGTGTTGGAAGCGCACCTTGAACACTTGCCCTACAGGGAGCGTTGAGAAGCATGTGTTACGGTGCGATTCTCATCAACAGTCAAATTCTGTGCGAGCATCCACACACCAAGTGATCAACAGCTACGCTCACATTTTTGTAGACGAGGATTTGTTCCTATCGAGTTGCTGCGCATGGGTAAGGTTCCCATTGCTGCTTTCAGATGAGGCACTGGACAATTTTTCTGGACCGCGCACCGACAGGCATGTGCTTCGTACATGGCATGTACTTCGTACATGGCTACATACATACTCCCTTCTTCCCCTCGCTGTCTCGGCAAGATTTTGCTTAGGCATGACCCAAAGCGAGGGGGGGGGTCTTTCTAGCGAGCAGGGCTAGACTCATCCTCAAGGGACCGATACCTTCTTGCTACGGCGCACCCGCCGCAAGGCGTGCGTAGTGGTGGAGTTGGGTCGGCACTGGTGCGTCAGGTACAAAGGTGCAGATGCGCGGGCCTCGAGGCCGTCGGTGCAGGCAGCAATGCCCATCTCATCTTTGTGCGCGGAGGCAGACGCCATCAGAAAGGTGGACGGGCACTATGTACACGGCCCTATGCTTGCTAGAGGGAGCTGTACTGTCTCAGTAACCTGGTTTTGCCATCAAATGAGGAGGGGACAGGTGGTGACGAGCTGACTGGGCTGGTTGACCCTTCTGCGCGAGAATTTTCAGACCAAGAACCCTAAGTGCAACGAGGGAGAAAGCGAGGAACCGACTGGGAAGGACAGCAACGAGAGCGTGTACGAAGCGGAGCGGGTCGAATTTGGTCGTGCTAGGACTGGCCACAGCGACACCGGAGAAGCGGCACCGGAGCAGCGGCACCGGAGCAGCAGCGGAACCGGAGCATGCGGACGGCATCGAACCGTGTCGCACGGACAAACATCTCTTCTTGTGTTGTCAATTATTTTCCGTTTTTTTTTCCTGAATATAGGTGTTAGGTGTGTGTAATGACGTCACTGGTTTTGTAGAGAGACGCGGCAGAGATGGCGCGGATAACCCGGGTGCCTTAATTGTGTACCTGCATCGTGGAAGACCCCTTCAATGTGGAACGATTCCTAGTCAGTGCCGATGTTTACACTGCTGTGTCTAACACAGATGATCTGGATAGATTCGGGCGATTGTCAATTACAATGATGGCTTTGGTTGGTTGTTCTTCTTCATTGTATGTCCACGGGCCCATTCTGACAGCACTTCAGACAGCAGCTGCATGCCCCGAGCTTGTTGTGCACCATACACCATGGTGTTATTTTGTACAGACAGCACTTCAGACAGCAGTACGCTGTAGTCGACATTCATTTTGGTGAAGTGCGGGACAAGGGGGGTGATGCCGCCTGCTGTAGTCGAATTGTAGTGTGTGGGCGTGTAGTTCAGTTGTGAGCACGCAAACGTGCTGCAGGGATTGTAGGTGTACCTCCTCGGGCTTGTGTACCTTTTTCTTGCTAATAGTGTGCGTGTTCTTTAGATCTTCTAATGGCTTTAGCATTTTTGTGACCACGGGCCGAGCTTTGCTAGATTTTGGGATTAGCAACTGACACGAGTTTAATGTGAAGAAAAACAACAACAACAACAACAACAACAACAACATATGTACATGGGCATGTACTTCGTACATGGCTATCACCCTTGGTATACACACATAAGCCGCGGTGTTCAGCATCTGATCACTACACGTTTGAAAGCTTAAGGTTGAGATTGTTGACAGTCTACATTTAACGCGACCCTTTCCCAACGTTGCCATACGCTACTATTACTGCTGTAGACGAGACTAGAGCTTTGTTCTCATATTTGGTGCCGCCCACGTTGTTGCATGCCCTGTGCGGTCCTGCTCCTGCACCCACAGCAACAACAGCAAGAAGTGACAGCGAGGACGAGGAACCGTTCCCGATCTGGAAGGGCATGTCCTCGTTTGAGGACGCAGAAACAGGTTCAGAGGCAGAGGAGGGGGGGGCTCCTGTAGCCGGGGTGATCGTCGTTGACCCCTTCTGTGACTACCTGGGGAAGCGATGCATCGACATTCTGGAGGAGGCCGGCTACGCTGTGGTCCAGGCAAGCAACGGCACACATGCCTCGGAAGTTGTTCCGGGGAGAACGTGTGGTCTCTCTGCCGGTAGACAGATGTGTGTGTGATGTGTGTATGTATGTGCGTACATCTTCGATGGTATCGACCGCGTGTTAATCGAGTGATGCGTGTGTGTGTACTTCCTCAATTCGTATCGACCGCGCTAACAGGCTGACCAATGAGAAGACGTCGGTCTCAGTGCGGGTAAAACCACAACATGCTTGTTAAGGTCATGATGCATGTGTATGTGTGTACATGTGTGTGTGCTTCTTCCAAATAGTATCGACCGCGGAAACAGGCTGATGTTTGTGTGTGTGTGTAGGTGTGTCAACCCATCCCGTCTATTCTGAACGTCCGTTTCCCACTTTTTTGGGACGTTTTTGGAAGCACCAGCCGCGGTGACACCAGAGGAAATACCTCAAGATTCACTTAGGTGTAAAACCTGACCTTTCCCCTAACAGATAAAATTGCATCGATGATATTAATGATGTTATCAGCAAGGGGCTCATCTATCTCCTGTCGCCCAATACCCGCCGTCCGTCCCAGGTGCTGTCCGACCATCTCGTAGCGACCTTGGACAGCGACAGCGCCAAGGGGTTTCGCCCCCCAAGTCCCGGCAAGGAGGCCGAGTGGGCTAGCTGGCTACCGTTCCCCATCGTGGCCGTGGTTTGCGAGAGCGACGCAGGCCTTGCGAATGCGGGTAAGGAGTACGGAGTTTTGCGGAGTGTCTATCGCCTTTCTTCCGTCTGCGTGGTGATGGCGTTAGTTTAGTTTTATCCCTGTGAAATGCCGCCTGCGTCTGAAACGTGCTTCATGGTCCAGGTCGCCCCGTTGGCTGAGTAGTTCAGTTGGTAAATCTCGTGACCTTCTGACGTTTGGGACGTGGGTTCGAATTTTGGTACAGTAACTGAGAAATTGTATGTCATAATATGTCCAATCACCGTAGAAAGCGATTGTTGTTGTGTGTACGGGTGCACAACAAGCTTGACTTGATGGTCAGCGAGGGGATAGGGCGTTGGAGGCAACAAATACCGCAGGCGGAAGTGGAAGATGAAATCAACAAATCTCCTGCGTGTGGCCCTGCTCCTGGACGACCCCGGCTGATGCGTCCAGGTTGTACGTCGGAGGAGCGTAAGAACTGACATTCACATTAAACGGGGCGAAACACACAAAGTAGTGGGTTCCGGAATCGCCCTCCAAAACTGAAATATCTATAACTACAATAGTCTACAGCATGCAAAGGTAAACGCAGAAGTGGCACATACTCCCACCCTTCAATTCAATCCAATTCGTGCGAACAGAGAGGCTGCAGGCGGCGCTCCTAGGCCCACGGTTCGGAGGCAACAACGACGCGAGGCGGGACAAGTTCCTCATGAACGAGGCCATGAGAACCGCCGGTCTCGCCGCCGCCCGACAGATCAAGACGGGAGACAGGGTCAAGGTCAGACAGTTTTTAGCTACCCTCGAGACCACCACCACGGCACCGCCCCCGACCCCTGCTCAACAACAAGACACGCAACAACTGGAACAAACCGGAGGGAGAGAAGTGGCGGCAGACGCCGACGGCGATCTCGCCGCTCCGATGCCCGAAGAAAACTCGGAGAACGTTCCTGAGGCGAAGGGGCTGGGAGGTCGGGGAGAAGAGCAGGAGGAGGACTGCGGGGACGGGAATGCGCATGGCGTGCTGTCGGTGGTGAAGCCGGCGAGGGGGTGCGCCAGCGGCAGCGTTTTTCGGTGCCAGGGCGAGCGCGAGGCGATGGAGGCTTTCGACAAAATCCTTGGGACACCCAAGTACGGGACCCCCGGAGAGTTCAACGACGAGGTGAGGGGGAAGTTTATCCTCAAGTATGTAGGATGCAAAGGGCGAGGGGCCACGCGTATGGGAATTCGTATTGCCGCGGGGGGGAGGGGGGGGTAACGTTGTGTTGTGTAGCGGAGTGGGAAGAGAGGCACACTTGCCAGCGCTTTCCGGTCGGTTGCACACTCGAAGGTTGCAACCGCGCGAGGGGATATTGTTACATAAATGTGTTGTGCTCCACGTACGCGAATGAAAGAATGCAGGACACGTGAGACATGCGCGAAGCGATTCGCAGCAGTATTGGTGTGGAAAAAGAATGTCGAGTGAAATGTGTTATTTTTGGAATTCGCCGAAGAACAAGCAAAGCGAAACACGAAATGTAATTAGTAGTACCGGTACGGTACTGTAGTAAATGGAGTCCTTGTTGGAAGCTCACTTTTATTGTTTCACCTGTTGTCGGTGCAGGTTTTGGTTCAAGAGTTTTTGGTGGGCACGGAGTACGTGGTGGATACCGTCAGCCGTGATGGAGAGCACAAGGTACAGATAGGGAGACTGGGAGCGAGAGAGACAGACAGACAGAGACAGCGAGAAAGAGACATACAGGCAGGCAGTAGCACTGGTTCATGCTGGGTCTTTGTTGTCGATTCCTCCTCCCATCTTAGCTGTGACTTGTGCCGAGGTTCTCTTTCGAAACTGTTCACAAGATGAGCAGAGCTCACCGTGAGCCACGACAATAGATGGAGTGGGCATCCTCCTAACTCCTAACCCGACCAAATGAAGGGAAAAGTTGAAGGGAGAATTCCCTTGTTTGGGCTAAGGTCCTCCCTTTCACGAATTTCTGTGCCGCACGTGCTCGGGTGATCGACGGTGTCAGCAGCTGGTGATTCACCCCTCTGTTGGCGGAAGCAATTACTACTGTTTGTTGTGTATCGGACCGCACTCTCTCCCCCCCCATCTCCCTCAAGCAGGCAGTGGCAATCTGGCGCTATGACAAGCGGCCAGCAAACGGGGCTCCTTTCGTGTACTTCTCTGTGAAGCTAATGTGAGAGCGCGATACAGATGAGAAAGACGATACTACCGACAACGATATTCCTCCTCTTGCCCTGGACAGCGCTGCAGGGTGCGAAGAAAATCTCGTCACATTTTTTTGTTCGTGTGTTCGCTCTACAGTAGTCTACAACGCATGCGGGGAGCGACAAAGCCTCTTGCGGCGTCTCAGTCACTTACATATACGCACACCTTTTGGGTAGATCTCTCGACTCTTTAAAATGCTGGAATAGCGTGGATACCGCCTGGTCTGCGTCCAACGCGGGGATAAGCTTGGCATGCGCAGAGCTCGCGTGCCTCCTCCCCACAACCCAAGATATCACAACAAAATTACACCAGATTCTCCCCCCCCCCTTTTACACCCCACACCCTTTAGTGGTCCGCTAATCGTTGCTGCTCTCGTTGTTGTTGTTGTTGTTGCTGCTGACATGCTCCGCGCGCGCGATTCATGATTGTGGTTGACGTTCGGCCATATTCGGGCAACTCTTTTTCTGGCGATGGTGGCGACTGCGACGACTGACCGTTTATTTTTGTTTTTGTAGGCCTTCGGACGGACAAGCGGAGCAGAAGGTGGTGGAGTACGCCTTCCAAGCTTTGGACGTGCTGGGGATCAAGTTCGGCCCAACACACACAGGTACCTAGTGGTGGGTCTTCTTCTGGTACTCCTCGTGCTGCCTGTGTAGTGTTCCAGCGGTGGAGTCAGGGTGAAAAGCAGACCGTGGTATTGCTGCTTGATGAACCAGCCCGCGGTACAAATATTCGTGCCTTGTCTTTGGTTGGTTGTATACCGTATATGACACAAGAAAACACACCCCGGTGATAACATTTTGGAGTTTGAAAATATTATCACCGGGTGCGGTATCCTGTGGGGGGTGTGTTATCTTGTGTACCCCGGGTGATAAAAGTGCAGTTCGCAGGGGCCCCTAAGGGGGTGTGATAAAACAGGGGGTGTGATAGCGCGTCCGAACACCCACAGCGTGTGTTTGGGTGTGTGATAAAAGAGGGTGTGATAACACGTCCGAACATCCACAGCGTCTGCTTTGGGGTGTGATAAATGAGGGGGTGCGATAAAAGGGGGTGTGATAGCCATGCCTGCACGTACACGTGCAGTGTAGGGACCTACCTAAAGGGGCGTGGAAAAACAAAGGGGCTCAACCGAGGTGACGAAACTCCTGAGCACATGACCTCGGCGATAACTCAACCCTCTCATCGCCAAAAAAAGTTTGAAACAAAATAGGGGCTTGAATCGAGCAAGAAAAAATTAAAAATCGAAGGTACCTCGACCGATACGATGATTGGCGGTGGCCACAGACTGCGTGCGCCATCCTTCCTGCCCCCCTCACAAAAACGTGTACTTGGTACTTGCGTCTGCATTCTGCTCTGCCTGCACGTTCATGTTGTTGGGGGTCTCCATGCGGGGTGTTTCCCCTCACACAGCTGACGTGGTTGTGTGTGTGATTGCCCAGGGCAGATGCTGTCACCCCGGTGACAAAGAAGGAGGGGCCCCGTGACTATATGCGGCGTAACTAAAAATATCACCGGGGTGTGTTATCTTATGTACCCCCGGTGATAAATCGATGGTTTGTCAGAAGCGCCCAAAACTATCACCGGGGTGCCGTATTCTGTGGGGGGTGTGCTTTCTTATGTAGGTGTGTTATCTTGTGTCATATACGGTATAGATGTATTGGTTGTTCAGCACTGATATTTGTGTTGTGGTTTGCTTCGCATTTGGTGGTGCTTTTGGTTTACGTGTGGTGGTGTACCATCTCTTCACTCAGTGTGTGTTGGGTCGGTGGAAGTTAAACGTCATTCTGTTTACTTCCTGTTGGCTGAAGTGCCCCGTCCCTCGTGCCTGATTGAACTGCCTACTGTAGGCTCCAAATTCGCCTCTCTCTGTGCACTCCCGGTCGGTCTACCCAAAGCACCAAAGCGCTTTGAGATCGTTCTTGCATTGTAGTGTACCCACCACCTGTTGAGCCTTTTCTTTTGAGACAACCGGCTCACTGCTGTTACTGTGGCTTTTACTTATCATGATGACACCATGAACAACCACAAATCTCGAACGATGGATTAACCGATGTTCCGGAATAATGGTAACTGCTAACAGGCATGTGTCCTAGTGATGAATTATTTAGAAGTAAATAATTCTTGAAAACCCTTGGAACTCTTATTCTGTCTCATGCAGAGATTATGATGGTCGGCGCACACGGCGGGGACGATGGGACCACATCCCCGGGGGAGGGAACGCCGACTCTGGTCGAAGTAAACACCCGCTGGCACCTGACGGACTTCGCTCCTCTGACAGACGCCTGCGTAGGGTACAACGCTGTCGAGGAAACCCTTGCGGCGTATCTCGACCCGGGGAGGTTCGATGCGCTTCCCCGGGTCCCTCCGACTGGGAAGGACTCGCGGTATGGGAGGGTGGTGCACCTGGTCTCCTATGTGGAGGGAACCCTCGAGCGCATATTCCACGAAGAGGTTTGTTTGGGCCTACGGCGGCTATGTCCTTGATGACGCCGTTCTGGTGTTGTGCGCTTATTAGGCGCACTCTGGGTCGAGAAATTCACCCGGTTTGGCTTGTCCGTTTTGTGTGGGTGTCTTAACTCTGACATGTTTTTGTTCGTCCCTATCGCCAAAGGAGAGGATGTATGTATGGAATCGAAGATATTTCGGGGGCTGTCTGAGTGCGCATCAAGTGGGCAAGAACAAGTTCGCAGTGGTATCTTTTGACTCGGCCTAGAGAAAAGAGTTCGAGGGTGTTTCCAAGACATACGAGAAACGCGTGTTGGTGTGGTGCTTAGGTGTAGTTTGCTCGCACCCTCGGGATAGACGACGTCCGAACAACGTCCACACTGACTGTTGCTGCGGGCAGTATCGGCACGCTTACCACCGAGGCCTCAACACAAAAATTACCCTAGCGCGAAGTCTGCCATCCCACTGTCGGCAATCGGAACGAACACCTCACAGATGTATGTGTTCCCCAACCCTTGACTCTTGACACCACAGGAGATCCGAAGCCTGGAGAGCTTTGCGGGGATCGACGTGTACGCCGACCCGAAGAATGGTGGGTCAGGACACGTGAAGAAGACAATCGACATCAGGTCGGATGCTGGCTGGGTGCGATTGGTGCACGAAAAGGAGGAGGTTGTTGAGAGGGACTACCGGCGCGTGGTAGAGCTCATGCCAACGATGTACAAAGTCTCGGGAGATTCGAGTAGCAGCGGGTGATGTGGTGCGTGGGTATCCGGTGGAATGAATACGATGCTGAAACCATTCATGCCTCTTTGGGTTGTACACACAGCAATTACGGCATTTTGATTGGAAGGACAAACGTCGAAGCAGCCTGCGACTGAATGTGAAGAGCGATGTCATAGCCTTCCTCGTAATAGCTGGGTTGAACAGGACCCCGCTGATACTCATACTCTCATCCTCTCTCGTGTTCATGTTTTTTTTGTGTGGTGGGCCTTCAGCTGTACATGCCTTTACAGGGCAACAGACGCAAAATGCACGGCACGCAAGCCGTCGTCAAACCGTCAAAATGAGCAAAGTCCTGTCAAAATCGAAATCTACACGACTGCCTGCTACGCGAACACATTTTGCCGGTAAGGTACTGTGTTTCCTCAAAAGCAGCTTTCTTCGACCCCGACGACCCTACCCTCCCAAAAAAATACAACAGTCAATCACATCGTGAGGCCATACTCTCAAGTATTCGAGCAGCTATCTTGCCCTGGGCAGGCGAACCATCTAGCGGGGTCGCTCCGCAGAATCAAGCACAGTACGACCCCCCAAGACGACTTTTTCTCTGCCACACTTGACAGAAACGACGCGTGTTGTGCTCTTCCCTACCCCGCCCTCGGACACGTGATCATTTCAGCCACGCCCTTTCTTGCCAGAAAATAGCAGTTGTTCGGTTGGTGGCAACGACATCAGATGCTAGATAGCGCCTAATTTGAGCTTCGTCTGTTCCGCGGTTGTCCACATAATTGTGGCAGCTTTTTTAACTCCCAAGCTTCAGTCCTATGCATATCGGTAGCTCCCAGCCTCTTCTCTAATCCTGTCGACCCTTGAGCGTCTTGGACATGATACCCTCTGGCGTGATGATGTGAACCACGCCCCCCCACCCGCTGAGTGCATCGCGATCTACCGAAGTCAAGAGGCACTGAGCCATCGTCTCGAAGAGCTCGTCCTTGTCCTACCAGACCCAAGAATCAAAGAGAATCAAAGAGAATCAAAGGGGGGGGTGGAAGGTCGAGTGAACCAGAGTTGTCTTACGTAGTTTGCGCTGCACGAATGTACGGAAGCAAGGTAACAAGGGAATTCTGTCCCATTCCACCGTCGCAGACATGCAGCACGCAGACTTCGTTGGAAAAAGGCCCGCCTTGCGTGGGTCTGCAGAGAGAACTTTGATTTAGCTAGTCCACGTAGTCTGCCAAAAGGTAACACTAACGCCGTAAGGCGACCTCACGAGGGCCTGCAGTTGCAGTTGCCTTCTTGTTCTTCTGCGAAGAGAGTTGTGCTCGCTCCTTGCTACAGTATCATGCACGGTCCAAGTAGTGCTCACACTTCATATGCATGTGTGCCCCGTACTTTGGTATTTATCATTGCCGAGCCGAGGGCACGGTAGGTGTCCACCGATCAGGAATACGAGACGGGAAAGAAATTTCTTGTGGTACTGCAATCCACCAACAAAAACTCTCATGGGGGGTCCAGAATTGATGAACCTCTCACCATGTCTGGCCTGTAGAAGCTCTCGCACATGCCGTACAAGTTGTTGGTGCAAGTCCCCCCCACAACGAAGTCATCGGTCACCACGGGCGCCCCGATGAGGTCGAACGCCGATATGAAGGGAGTGTTGTCCTCTTTCAACCCGGCCACGATCGGCTCCACGAAGTACGGACCAAACCTGCCAACCCACGGGAAGAACCAGGGCAAACAAAATAAAAATGGTAAGTACATACAAATGGAAAACCGTACCGCTGAAAAAACCGGGAAGGAATAAATTTCTTGCATGGAAGTCGACCCCAAGACTCGAAACGAGGAAGCGGGATCATTGGTGAAGAGATGTGATAGATGTGATAGAGGGAACAAACCCCTGGTAGAATAACGATGGGCTACTCGGCTTGCCTTTTCTGGTAGAGAATGTGGGACATGAGCGCCGAAAAGGTCTCCGGCTTGATCTCTCGCTCCTCCCGAAGGCGGTAGAGGTTGAGTCGGAAGGTCAGCAGCTCCTTCATTGTGATCACGTCCGTCGCCAGCCCTGGTAGCCCCACCTTTAGCCCACAGATCCAGACGACCAAAAAACAATTCGGAGAAAGGAACGGAGTCAAATCGTAAGAGCAGGAAAACCAATAACTACCAAACGTCGCACAGACTAGCCTACCCCGTGCGAGGGGAGATGACCGAATAAAAATACATGCAGCGGTCAGTCAGGGTCCCTCATTAGGGTGGCAAAGCGGCAAGATACTGCACCACGTGAGACCCACCTGTGCGCAAAGGGCAACATGCGACGTTTCGTATTGTGGTAAAACACAGGCCAAGAGGATTCGATCGCACTTCAGCTGGGGTCCCCGCACTGTTGGGGGACGATGCCTTTGAGGTACCCTGGCTGCACTAGCTTTTAAGGTGTACTCCATGAGATCTGATGTTCTCGACACTTCATCGCAGCCCCTGGTACTTCCAACCGGCACAGCATGGATACATGGATACCCATCACTTCAATTCCAACACCCTTGTAGGAACACCCACTCCGTGCTGATGCTCCTCTAACCCAGGAGCAACGCAATACCACATACACACAGCAGTTGCTCTCTAAAACAGGAAATGCAATGCGACTCGCTTTAGGGTGAGGTGACGGCAGCCAGTATATAGTCGTTGCGCTAGATAGAAAAAATCCCGCACTATTGGATGTAAGCAGCTGTAGATATCTACTGTTTCCCTGGCTGCTCTGCTACAACACGGCACGGCAAAACATGTTTCAACAGAGGTACACGCCCCAAGGCCAGGATGTCAAGAGCTGGTGCAGAGAAGGGGTACGAGCATCTCCGCTGGCTGGCTGGCTGCCGCTTACCATGAGTTTATCCCCCATCTTGAATATCTTCTCGAAGTCTGTTGCCACGGTCTGCGCCTGGTTTCCGAGGCGGCTGTCGGAGCAGATGCCCACGCAGTTCTTGCCGGTCATGGCCAGGATGGCCGCACCATTGTACTCGAGGATAGACTGGCGGCAGGGACCACAGGAGGGGCAACACGTGAGACACACGCAAGCACACCTGTTTGGTGGGGGTAGGCTGATACGACTAACCGACGCAGAAAATCTAGACTGGTGACTTACTAGTACTACCAACCCACATGACTTGATCTTCGGCGTGTTTGATGCCCGCAGTTGAAGGTCGGAGGGCGGTATGCGCATGTCGATTTCGTTGCACCCCACATTATAAAAGCGAAGTGTCGTAGTATTTAGACCCTTGGGACGAAGATACCATCTGGGCCGGTATATCTTGCAGATTTACACCGACCACCTGCCCAGCCTCTTCGTATTCCGAGATGATGCCAGCAACGGAACAATGCTTGTTAGCCGCAGCGCGAAGCGTATAGGCGCTCCCTCGTGCTCAATGTTGTCTATGAGTGGGCCACAGCGGGCGACTGAGAGAGAAAGGAAGGTACGGGAGGCATTGAACTGAAACGGAGCAGGTGACCTGCAAACAGCGGTCGGATCCGCTCCGTTCCGGCACACTTTACACTTGGCGTCATCGGCAGGCTTCCTCTTCTCTCTCAGTCGCTCGCTAAACACCGCTCACTCCCAGGCAACACTAAGCAAGAGAGAACCCCTATAAACTTCTTGACTGCTGCTGACAATCAATGTCCCGTTGCTTGCAGAATCTCGGGATACAAAGAGGCTGGACAGGTGGTCGGTGTATTTCTGGAAGATATACCCACCGGATGATATCTTAGCCCAACGATCCGAACACCAGGACACCAACGGTGTAGTAGTGAGTTGTCGGCAACGTTAACGTTTACAGGAGATACTCCTAAAATAAGTGTGATGGACAGCTGTGGGCGTATGCAAGCACGCTTGGTCATGGTACTGTTAAAAATGAGAGAGAATGTCAACACATTGCAACGGAGGTGCCGCATATGCATATATCCATACGTAAGATATCACCCCCCCCCAAGAGCGTAGTCTGATGGTGGGGCATCTGTTGAATCACAGCAATAGACGATAGAAAGAGTCTACACTAGGCACCAGGGGGGCTCCCTGGCATAGAAGGGTGTTCAGAGCCAGCCGTGGAAAAGGCATTTATCAGGATGTAACTACAATGCGTTGTCATCTCTATCGCTTACAGCGTCTGCCGATATCGCGATCTCATAGCAGCACGAAGCGGTCGCGGTTACGAGAAGCCCAAGTGCGAGAGTGGACATCACGAAAGCTGTGCCTTCCGTGGACATGCTTCTCGTAGGGCATACTGCACGCAGCGAGAGTCATAGCTCCAAATCTCAGCACAAACGACGGGCTTGAGCTTTTGTGGACGGATGAACGCATCGATTGTTCTCTGCAACTTTGCGTTGCTGCTGCAGCAGCGGTAGGGTTAGCCATGTCAAGCACACACACCCGGAGTGCGTTGCAATCGGCAACGGATGTCGCGCTGCAATGACAAAGCCTCCTGAGGGGCGAAGAACTTCGGAGGTACTCCAATGTACGACCCATGGTGCACCAAAATAACAAGCGGTTTCCGCGCCAGAGCAAGGGGAAAAGCCAACCAACCCAGCAGCAACGAGACCTTCGACCATGCCTGGCTGTCTCTATAAAGACTCTCACCATCTTTGTATTGACCAGCAAAGGAGAAGTTCCTTCCTCTTCCGACCAAGCTCCGCGCGTTCCTCAACACTATTGGCGTATATGCACCCCTTGCAAAGCAAACCTTGTCAAGCTTGAGTCTTTCTTCCTTGAGATTCAGCAGGCGAGCCAGCGAGAGATGGCGAGTTGCGAGAGCACACGGAGGAGAGAAGACGCCAGAAAATCTATTCTCATTCTGCGGAACCCCCCTCCCCTGAATATCTCTGAGGCCTTCATTCCACGGAGCACGGCGGTCTGTCAAGTCAAGCAAGTCAAACACAAGCAAAGCTCTGCTTGCTGTGCTGTGTAGCAGACAAAACAGCACTAGGATAATCGAGAGCTCTCTGCAGAGAGGGGGGAGAGCTCGAGACGGGGAGGGTGGCGATTGATCTTCTAAGGAAAAACAGCTCTTCGTTAATCCGGCACCAGGCCCTCCATCAAAATCAGACGGCCGCGCCTGTTTGTGTAGACACCAGCGGATTGCAAGCTCGGCCCTGATTGTAGCGGCGCTTTGCACACCATGGACACTACCGACGCGCCCCAGATGATGGAACACATCCACAAGTCGATTACGTTCACACCGAACGACACACGATGGGTGCCGTGCAGCGCTCGTTTCGTCGTCACGGGGATACACCCGCGTGCCAAGGGCGCTCTAGTGGTGAGGTTTCTTGGGTTTCAACAAGCAGGATCTTCTGCAGATCGTCGCATATCTTGGTCGTATCTATCTGCCCTTGCTTCTAACGGTTGGCGGCCATGGCAGCTATGGTCTCATGATCAAGGGCTATGGATACGACTGCCTTGGACCATACGCTTGTTTTGTCCTGTATGGTGCTTGTTCCGTACAGAGCTACAACGTTGCCTATCTATCTGTAGGTCATGGCTGTTCTACCGGCTACTTCGGGGTACGCCGCACGTGATATGTACTAATGCACTCGATTCTTCTCCATGATTGAGCAAAGTCATGTTGCCGCTTTCAGCCCCCTGCACGGCGAGGAATACCATCTCGCAAACGGGGTTCAATTGCCGAACCGCCACAGTAGCATGCACGGTGTTCTTGATCCAAACGTTGGGCTGCCCACTTGTACGCATTGGAAGAAGCAGTCCGCGCTCTCGTTATGTATGTGTGCATGTGTTCCCTCGCACACAAAATGGTGTGGATGAGAACCAATGCCGCGACGATAGGGCAGGATAACCCATTCTTGGACTCATCGGTAGTGGTACACTGCTATTGTCGAGGAATAGAAGCTTCCAATATCGTTGTAAGTATTTGGAAGGCATGGATGTGTTGCGAGAAACGAACGTTCGCGTTCTCTGGCGACGACTCTCGTGGGTGGTTGGTTGGCCATGCAACACAATGTTTAACCTCGTGCATGATTGTGTTCAGGTATACGAGCTTAACAAGGGCAAACTCAAGCTTGTTCATGAGAGGGAGACGGACGCAGGCATCAAGTGTTGTACTTTCGGAGCGTCGTCGCTAGAGGACCGACATTTGGTGAGCTTCCTCTTCCCCCCGTTGAGACCCTCCCTGCCTACCTCTGACAGAAAGGTCCACTTTGTGTAGTTAGATTCGTCCCAATCTCAGGAGGCGGACTGAAAACTGCGATGAACTTGAGCATGCTGCTGCTGAGTCGCGTTCAGTTGGAAGCTCGTGATTGCTACTTTCGAAACCGGGTAACGGAACAGGAGCAGCAAACGTCGCTGACAGTCCGTCCGACGTTTCACCTCAATGCAGCCTGTCATTGCCATCGCCACGAAAACTGCTTGTGGTTCCGTCTCAAGTCCGAGCACGAAGTGTGACTAGAACCCAAACGCTGGTTGTTGCAAGTTGCTAGCTTAGCCCTTCCGCTGAATCAACTCGTGGTGCCGGAGCATCGCGATTGACTGGTGGAGGGCGTTAAGAGGAGTTACGAGGGTGCGCAGAGACCTGAGTATATTTTCCCGATCGGTGGATGCGACTAGCAAAAGCCTTTTCGCGAAAGAATTCCATCCTCATCCCGGACCCCCACCCTTCCCTTGGTGGTCAATCTACCGTCTGCCCCAGGCTTGCGGGGATTATAACGGCAAGCTTGCCATCTATGATCTAGAGAGAAACGACGTCGCGGCCTGGTCGGCAAGCGCTCACAAGTCCATCATCAACGCTGTGGATGGGTTGGGGGGGCCGGAGTCTACATACGGGGCCCCCGAGCTGGTGAGCGAGCGAACAGCGGAAGGATCTCGAGAAAACGCAGCACCGCCTAAATCTTGGTACATGGGAGGAGCTTAGAAGGAATTCGCAAAGTGTTTTTTGAAGAACCAGCCTTGGCTTGCCTAGTCACACCTTTCGGGCGACTCGCTAAACACGGCCGGGGCTTGCTTTTCCTTGTGCAGGGCCACATACATATGTCTGTGTACATTGCAGCATAAAGCTTCGGTGGTTCCATCAAGTAAGTGCCGATATATTTTAACCGCAGTAAGAGTACGAGTGAACGTCCGACAGAGTTATGTGTTGTGGCACGACCGATGGCTGTTTCGGGTGGCGCATCTCTTCTCACCAACCGGTCAAAGACACATCACCACATGCTCCAACGAATCTCGAGGAATACATCCTAGTGCCAGGCGTGCCGCGAAGACCAAGAGATAGGCTTGCAGTAGTCGTGTCCTACAAACAAGAAGCCTCAATCCCATTGTCAGCCAGCTCCCTTGGCTCACGCGAAACCGTTGTCATGTGGCGTGTACTCCGCACCATACTACTGGTCCCCGCTTGTGGTCGTCGTGAAGGGGACCAATAGCCCCCACCCACCCTCCACTTCTCTGCGTACAAGCCCACAAACTACTGTAAGACCAACACGCTCTCGTGGACAATTAACTTATTTCATTGACAATGAACTTGTTTCATGTTTCTTAGGTAACCGGAGGAAGAGATGGGTGTGTCCGCGTGTGGGACCCTAGGATCAGCGAGCCGGTTGTGAAGCTGGAGCCAAGAGAGGGAGAGGTGAGAGAAACAAATCGCCCTCTAGGTCGACTGCTGTTACCAATACTAATGTGTCTCACTGCATTGTGTTCTGTGCGTATTCGACACCAAACGAAGCGAGGTAGTTGGGTTCCACGCAGGAGTTTTTTGGTGTGAAGAGGTCCTCCGGGCTTGTGCCTTCAGGGGTTCACGTAACACAGCACAGCTTTTACAGTACCCCACTTTTTCTTTGCAAACTTCGAGAAAACGTCAGCGATGAGGCGCCAAGCACTGCGCACGGCGTGTGTCACCCACAAGGGTTGTTATCACTGTCGCGAATGTCTCTTTCGGGGTATTAACAGAACATACCGATCGATCCAAGCTCAACGTTCATTCGTATCTAAATGCCAACCCGTCGCTTCCCTCGTTACATGATCAATCAACAAACACACCCTTTTTCTCTCGATCAGACCGCACGGGATTGTTGGACCGTTGCATTCGGAAACGCCTACACGGACGAAGACCGCTGCTTGACCGCTGGCTACGACAACGGCGACGTCAAGCTTTTCGACCTCAGGACGCAGACTATGCGGTGGGAGACTAACGTGAAGAACGGCGTTACCGGCCTGGACTTCGACCGAAACGACATCGAGATGAACAAGGTCGGTTGCGATGCGTGTTGCGCGAAATCGTTTTGTTGCCACGAAACTTGGTAGACAAATGGCATGGTGCGTTGCATCGAAGCGCCATAGATACTGGTTTGTAGCATGCCACCTACGGTATGGAACCCGGATGGTATGGGATTTGACACCATGTTGCCCGGACGACTCGAGAAGCATGAGCTGTATCGCAAAAGGTACTTTGGGCGGCTAGTTGGGAAAGTAGTATTCCGCGGCTGGGGGTGATTTAGATTCTTCATGCGGCGCGACGAAAAGCACTTACAAGACGCATCTATCACGAACGTTGCATCTGGTGTACCCGATATCGGTGTCCCTCCGAGCCCTATCCGCCATCAGCGCGGCATTCGCATCAGTATAGCTTCCCTCTGTGTAGCGTATCCTGCTTTGCTGACCCGCTTGAAAGCCGATTTTCCAACGCCAACAACGCCCCCTCACACCCTAACGCGGCGAGAAATGCCTCATTACTGCTTAACGCACGCGCAGTTGGTCGTAACGACGCTCGAGTCCAAGTTCCGCACGTACGACATGCGGACGCAGCACCCGGAGGCTGGGTTCGCCCACCTCAGCGAGAAGGCTCACAAGTCCACGGTGTGGCTCGCGAGGCATCTCCCTCAGAACAGAGACCTGTTCATGACCGGGGGAGGCAACGGCGGGTTCAACCTGTACAAGTACCACTACCCGAGCTCGCGTACGAAGAATGACAAGGCAAGTTTAGGGTTCGGGTTCGGTAACCCTACGTGGTGCTTGTTTTACCACGTGGGCCGTGTTATCGTTGTTGTTCGCGTCAAAGCGCATGCGCAACGTACCACACGGCAACAAGTAGCGGCCGAGATCGATCTTATAAGTTCCTCGAATCACGGTGTACAATATACCAAGTTTGTTCTTCTTCTCGGCGATGTGCACGACACACGACTCATCATGTAGAAATACCCTTTCCTTTCTCCTCCATGCTTTCATGTTTTCGAACCACGACCATGCGAACGAAAAACAAACACGAAAACTTGCAGGAGAACATCCCGATGGGCGTGGTTGGCAAGGTAGAGCTCCTAAACTCGAGGGTCATCTCCTCGCAGCCCATCGTCAGCTTCGACTGGAGCCCGGACCGCGAGGGGCTGTGCTGTCTCAGTTGTCTCGACCAGACCGTGCGCGTGTACATCGTCACCAAGCTCGGAAAATTCTGAGCATTATTGTTCTAACGTGTACCACATGTTATTACTCCGAAGGAAACAGGCCGTGGTGGCTAGGGTTGAGGTGTCTGTACCGATCGCAATGTCGAACACCGGTTTGTGAAGCCGGCCTCGTTATGTAGTGCTGGCTCCGTAGTTTGTTTTATGGCGCAGACCCCACCACAGCGGGTCTTCCAAACATTGTTGGCCGGGTGCGAGAAACTCTAGCAGGCGTTTTCGGTTCGCGATGGGCGTTGATTCTCACCGCTTCAAGCTCGTTTGTGTGGGTTGTGGGTTGAGAGTTGGTCGGCGTACGTGCGTGTATGTATGCATGCGGAGCATTGCTGCCAGCGAGTTGAAGCTCTGTAAAAACTAGAGAGTGGGCATCGTGTACATATACACATATATATACTCAACTGTGTTTGTCCACGTTCATTCGCGTCTATCACTAGAATATAATTAAGCGATGGTACACAGTCGATCTAAACGACTAACGCGTGGTTTGGATGTGCGTGCATGCGAGAACGCATGCTAAGATTTCCGTGTACCCAACAAGAGCAAGTTTCCTCATCGGCTTGTTGTACGGTTTACGCGCACCGCAAGGATCAAGGCTATATGCATGGCCGATGATGGCATTGAAAGAGTAGACAAGCGGAGCGGATGGAAGAGATTTTCTCGTCTCTACTGCCGCCCTGCATACATGTACGTGTGCTGGCCGGAGACAAGGAAATACTTTGGCGCAGATTAGACGCGAGCTTTAGATTCGGCTCCTTCTGTGCTTGTTTGCAACGGCGGAAGCCGTGTGGAGTGTGTTGGTCCGGCCAAGGCTCTGAAAGTTTTCCTAGAAAGTCACCTTGACCAATCTCTCTCAAGGGTATATATTCCCTCCTTTGCGTTTGTGCCCACCCCCTATGCTGTTCCAGTCTTTGTCACAACATCGCGCACGCTTCAGTAACAGTTCCCGATGAAAACGATGCCACAGGTATTTAACGGCAGCCGTGCTAGTCGATCCGTTCACCTCGAACATTTGTTGGACAAATTTGGTTTCATTTTTTTTGGGCTCATGTACACCCAACACACACGTAACCACACAGCAGTCAGGTGTAACTAGCACGGCGTGGCCCCCGCCCCTAAAGCCCTATTTTGACGTCTTCCCCCCGTTGGAGGCAAACATCACCCCCCAGGCTTGCCCGAAAGCCCAACACTGCTTGCTTTTTATCCGTTTACTCGTGGTCATCCGATCATCCCCTCCTGCTGCAGGTAGGTCGACCACTTGTTAACCTCTCTCGGAATCCAGATACAGAACTAAAAGAGAACTAGCACAACGTAAATCCTGAACATGGGGTGCCTGTTCGCGAACCCAAAGAGGAGAGAGAGGTATGCACACAACAATGTACCAGGTACAGAGCAAGCCCGGGACAAAAAAACCTTCCCTTTTCTTCATTAGAAGTGAACTACATGCGTATGTACAAAAAATAGTACTGAAAAACTCGCCATGACCATTCGCCATTCTTAGCGCGAACATGAGGTACGCCTACAGTACGGCGACGCGAAGTCATGAACAAAACTTCGTCCTCTTGACGACCAAAACCAGGTGCGATGCAATCCTTAAACAACAGGGTTTCCCCAAACAGGTGTGCAGGAGATTGTCAACGTGAAACCAACAGCGGTGTAAAATCGCGAGAAAATCGTTTGGTACAACAATTCCCAGCACTTCACGCACGCTCAGCGGTAACTCAGCTCCGATCCCTTTGGGCCCGCGAAAACCAGAACACAAGAACAACTTTCGAAGACAAAAAAAAAACTGTCTACCTTAAGCTAGCCCGAAGATCGATGGACTGAACGGAGGAAACACAACCGAAGGGATGCAGCTGGTCATGTTGGAACCCCCCCCTCCCGCCCAAGAGGAGGGTCTGAGGCACAGAGGACAACAGAGCGAGCAGCTAGAACAACACGACAACGGCGGTGGTGCCTAGCAAAGAGTCTTCGCAAAGGAGAGCGGAGAGAGACGCCTGGGTATGTGTGGCGAGTACAACCGCTTCATATCGTCTACAGCAGAACCTTCGGACACCGTGTATAACGAGGGTCCAAAGTGATTTCGATCATATCATCAACGTGGCCGCACGCGAGTTCGTAGACAACACCTTGGGTCTAATGCCTCATACCATCGACAGTTTCATGGCACGGTTCGTCGAAAGATTCTCCCCCCACGATAATAGCACACGAGAGAAATGCCACAATCTCTTGGCAACAGCAGTAGTCTCTACGGTGCACTGTTGGCGATGGTGCCGATGACCGGATACTTCTTTTCCATCTTCGATGCCCAGTCCTGCAGCACCGTCATGTCCTCCTTGCTCAAAGTGCTCATGTCTGGGTTGTCGAGGTGCTCTGGGGCGAACGACATCTGCGCGTGAAGGGCACGGACGAACACCATCGGGGTTACGACATCGAAAGAGTAAACCGGGCATCTGTGGTGCGTATCTGTCTTCGGCGAGCATGGGGCATGCGGTAGTCGTGCACATGGCATGGGTAGCACAAGCCGACATTCATTATCGATCCCCCGTCCCCCTCCCTGGACCATGAACGGCGGTCGAGTGATAATGTTGTGCGGGGTCGAGAACCCTCACTCCGCGCAAAGGGGATAATCGCACCACGTTGTGCTAAATTGGTCAAGCACCGTCGGGGAAGTTACACAGCGCTTACAACTGCCTCTGGAAGTGAAAGCACCAGAAAATAAATTAAGTCATACGCAGCTGTCATCCGTACGCAAGGAAGTAAGCACAAGATGCCGAACACCCTCAGCAGGATGCATTGCGCACCCTTCATGCGGCTCGCCGAAAACCTCACGGCGCTTCGCGCTTGGTGATGTGAGAGCCTGGTCCGGTAAGAACCCGACGTGCTCCGTCCCGGCTTTGTAGGGATGCGAGGTCACGACTGCGGCAAGCATGGCTATGAGTACACCACCCCTCATCTATTGTGTACCTCTTCTGTTGCTTTGAAGCGTTGGGGGTATGTATGTATCTGACTGACTGACTGACCTTTGCTAGTGCCACGGACGCATCTCTCCCGGCGAAGAGGTTGTAAGATTTACCGGGACCGTACATTTCTGCCCCCCCGTAGGACATATCATACACCTGCGTGTTAGGAGACAAGCAGTTGATGCGTCGATAGAGAATGGACAGTCGTGGAAGAATCAGGGAAACACACACAAGCTTCGCAAACCATCCATGTCGAACCAGTCGAGCTAAAAGCATGCGTTCATGTTGCCAATGGCATTGCGTTGCAAGAACTGATAGTGCTCGAATAACGCGCCCAACAAAGCACGACAGCCAACTCGAACAGAAAAAGTATGGAAGTGGTAAGGAGCCTCGCTTACAACTCAAAGCGCTGGTGTTACAGATTACTCCACACTTGCACTGCGCCTTGCTGCTACGGAAGCAGAGAGAGAGAGGTGCATCATGCCGCCGTGGGAAAACTCATGCTCAAAGCAGCAGTGGCCACTCGCCCATGAGGGGACAACAAGAACAAAAAAAAAAAGGGTCGACTTTTCGTAGCACACAGTAGAAGTACGATGTACGATAAATTCATCGGCAACCCTTGACACCGGAGTTTGTGTGCGGGAGCCTAGTGTTGCGGAGATCGGCACACACACACGATCAGAGCAAAGACGTACATAACAACCGCCACAAAGCAAACAGACGGTTCGGAATGTATGTAGCCCGTCGTGGCAGCTTGGAATCACAAGGACCTCACTACCCTGCCTTGAAAAATGGGACATGGATAGCAGCCAATTGGAGTAGTCTCAAACCGCACGTCCTTTGTTTCGGCGCAGACTCACACCACCTTTGGCATACAAGTACAATACCTTTCCCCTCACTCCCACGTAGATGGGAGGTGCGGCATAACCCTCTGGGATGTCGCTGGTCCCATCGAACGGCCGCAGCTCTTCCAAAGAAAATTCTCGCGGTTGTGCCGGAGGCGTCACGACCTGACCGTTTACAGCGATATAGGAACGAGGGGTAAAGATTATCGCGCTTGTTGGTGTTGTTGAGGTAATGACTTCGTCTCGGGCCCCAAAACAAGAACAGGAAAGCAGACAATGGCCAGCACCGGAAAACCAGCGCCACCGCCAAAAGAACCATACAGTAGCACCAACATATTACGGATTCGATAGCGACAACAGCACTAGGCATTACCACCTCACCAAGACCACCGCCATAAACAATTTTGCCTGCCACAGTGACAACATGAAGCATAAAGGATGAAGCATGAAGGAAGGCACCTTTCCAACGACGGGGTACTCGGAGAAGTTCTTGTATTTCTCCACCCACCCGTCCAGAGATTCGTTCTCCATCACGTTCAGCTCTGACCAGCTGCAGCAGCACAACACATGCAGCAGAAAGAAAAAACAACATCGCGCAGACCCACTAGACTATGAGTGACAATGCGCGTGACACCAGGCGGCCCGAAATAAAAAAATGGATCAGCGTATGATATGCATAACCAAAGAGAGAATTGGGGCGGGAGTAACATAAACCTAGACGAGGCACATTCTTCTGCTGAACGTTCAAACATGATTGATTCTACTTGTAGGCGGACGACCGATGGTTGGTGGATCGACCGACGCCGGTTCTCACCCAGCATCTTCCCATCCTCCCAGGAACACACGGAAAACGACAGGCGTACATGTATCTAGAAAACCCGTCGTTTTCGGGGATAAGCAACAGCAACAGCAACAGCAACAGCAACAGCAGCAAGAGCAAGAGCAAGACTACACACAGCAGTAGCGGCTACGGGTAAGAGATAGAAGTAGTCCTTAGGATAAGAGAGAGTATTTGAGAGAAAACACGAATTCAAGAGAGTGAATTCGCTGGTCCTGGCGATTAACCCTACAAGTACCAGAGTATAAAACAGCACGATTTACTAGAAAAATGGATTCAAGAAAGACTTTCAGGCCCATCGCGAACCCCTCTTAATTCGTAGCCGCTACCCTGCTGTGGCCAGGGGATGCCCTTTCCCCTCCCCCCCCCATGGCACACACGCGCACTGACCTCTTCTCGAGATCGGCCGGGTCGAGCGATCCCGTGGCGAGGCTGTAGGAGGCGTCGTGCCCTGCGAAGAGGTGGTAACCGCCCCCTACCTTGTAGTGCTCCGGTTTGGAGCTGACGTCGAACACTTCGCCCCTTAGGGCCACGTAGGCGGGAGTAGCCTCGTCACGACCATCGAACTCCTGTGGTTAGTGAGAGGAGTGGAGGTCAGGTCATACATGTACCCAGAACCGAGAAGAGGGGTATGTAGGCGGGGGGGGGGGGGGGGGACCCCTTTTTTGGTTGCCCGAATCCTTTTACCATTGACCCCCCCTCCCTTTTCAGAAGGAGTCGTTTAAACCATTTACCCCCCCTCCCCCCAAAGCCGGGGAGGAGCACCCCCGGGTTTCCCCGGAACAGGGTCTCCCATTACCAAGGGCGAAGGGCCGGGGGGTATTCGGGGAGGCCCATGAAGGGGGGGCCGCCTCCCGCTAAGGGGGTTCGGCATCTTGGGCTTTCTTCCTTGCGTATTGGGGAACTGCCCTGGGGGGGCTTGACCCATTTAACACAACGGGGGGGGATTTTCCCCTTTGCGCGGGGGGGGGGGTTTCCGCCCCCCCCAAAAAAATCAACTCGACCCCCATTGGGGTTTCCCCCCCAAAAAAAAAAAGGGGGAAAAAAAAAGCGGCCACCTGGTTGCCGAGCAGGGATCGGTTTTGTTCTTAAAATCGCTTCCAAGGGAAAAAAACCCCACCCCCGACCCCAAAACCGGGGGGGGGGGGGGGGGGGGGCTCT